GCCGGATACTCTCCTAGTCGGAGCGCCCTGTGGGGTATTAATGCATGCCTGCTAATCATATCCTTCTATGTGCCAACTTAAATATAGTTTAATTAAAAACTCAAAGTAAAGCGAATTTTCTTTAGAGAATAGACACGCAATGGAAAAGTTGTGAAACTCAGACACCAGTATATATGGACTGCATTGCGACGCAATTCACATTAATTAGTAAAATTAATATCCGGTTACTTGGCCGCGTAGGAAAATGCCGCAAGGTTGGAGAGGCTTCGAGGGAGTGGCCCTAGGCAATGGCAATGGAATGGAAGAATTTATTCGGTAAGCTGAGACCGCGAACGGAGGGCAAACCAGTAGACAGACAGTAGGTCACATGAGTTCTCCTTCTCCCTCTTCTTTCCTCGAAATCGATTACTGGGAATACTTACTTGGGACGCGACGATAAACTTGGATCAGAGGTCTTGCGGCGACTGTTGCGGTTCCTTTTGTTAGACAAGCGCTCCTTGTACGATTCCGATCGATTTACGGAGACTGGTGCGCTCTTGTGCTGCGGATTCGGAGTGTAACTGTCGAGGGATAACAGAATTTATATTAATAAATTCCTAGCAATCCATCAGCTCTCCACCATTACTTACCGCTCCCTACGCGAGTCCTTCTCCGTCGCATCAAACGCATTGAGCTCGGCTAGTGCACTTAGATCAATGCTGACGGATCCACTGTTAGAAGGGGCCGTGGAGGCACTACTAGTGGACACATCCATGTTACAGCCAGCGCCACCATTGGGATTTATAATACTGTCGTTAGCGCAACTGCCGTGAAACGAACCCTGCAGGTCGGTGGTGTTTAACGCAGAAGTGTTGCAGGATGTGTTGTTCCCATTCGAACGTATCGATATGTTAGCATCCGGTCGCCGATCAGATGGTTGGCGCACAATCGAAGCCTGGCTGCGGTCTAAGTATACATGAAAGGAGGAGGATTAGTGATAAAGGAAATTTAAAAAACTAAAGAAACTTACCTGGGGTCAATTTCATATCCATCTCCTCTTCTTGCCGACTGCGTTTCTCATCTACACGAAATTATAAAATTAGTTTTTATAGTTCAACATAAATATTATAATTTTCTTACTTCCAATAACGTCGCTAGTGCGCGGTCGAATTTTTCCCATGAATTTACTGATTTTATCGTTATGGGCAAGCCGCTTTGCCTGGGGCAGAGGCCCGGGACAGCTCTCGTCAACGACTTTCGAGCAATGACGATGTATATTCAATTTACAGTCTGCAAACAGAAAACAAAAACATTTTAATTCAAAATTCCACGAGATGCTGTGGGGTGGTTGGGGGGCTCACCTGTACAATGATAACCCTGCGGACTCACACCCCAGATAATCGTCTGGCAATGATTGCAGTGCGTCACTTCATAGTATTGACGCAATACCAATGGATGACCACGGACACTCATCTGTTGAATAGATGCGATTGATTTATGTGCATATTTGAGAAATGTCGCTCTATCTGAGACTCACTTTACGATTTTTTCCCATTATACGAGACTTGAAGCTCTTGTCGCGGCTTACAAAGTGATGAACGCGCTCCACAATGCTGCTCGGTGGCGGCCGAGAGATGAAGATCCGATAGGTGACCGTGGAAAAGGCCGAGCACAGGGCCACTTTACGAACATCCTCCGGTGGTCCGTCCTCATCGCTAATATTCAATTAAAAAGTATTAGTATAAACAAGTGTTCGTAGTTGTTATAGATTTAAATGCTGCCTCTTATTAATACTTACATAAGTGCTTGCAGCTTAGTCAGCAAATACTTATCAATAATTTGCTCCTTCTGCTTATCCGTCTTCGCTTCGGCCAACTTATCATCCGTGGGACCGTAAATGGTGCCCAGACCGGCGGTGCGTTTTTGTTGGAACTCGCGCAGCTGCTCGCTAATCAGATCCTTGGCCCGCTTGCGACTACGCAGGAAGACGCTGCGCAGAATCTCCCCCTTGTCGAACTCCGACTGCAGCACATTGTCCACCTCGCGGGCCAGCGACTCATCCTGGCGATACCACGACAAAGGGGCACGCGGAACAAGGAACGTGGAGTGGATTTCGTAGGCCCACTTGCGCATATCCTTGGGAGTTCCCTCTTTGTACAGCTCGGTGATCAGGTAAAAAAGAAGTGGCGCTGGATCCGAGTTGGAAACCACGTAGTTCAGGAAGATGGCCAGGAAGGTAACGTTTTCTGCCAGCAGCAAGCGAGTCAGATTATTAAACGGACCGTTCTCGTCAATGAAGGGCTCCTCCAGATCCGACGAGTTTTCGTCCTCCATCGAAAGGATCTCCTTCTGCGTATCGGTTGACTGGGCCGCGTGGATATTATGGCTGGAATGTAGGGACATCGGCGACATCGGAGATGAGGCCCCGGCTGCCATCGGCGTAAACTGATGGGACTCAATGAAGATGCCTCCTCCTCCAGCTGCCGCTCCTCCGTGACAATTCTCGTTTGGATCCTCCTCCACGGTCATGTGTGAACTGTGCGACAAATATGGCGGCGGCGGTGTTCCTGGCGGCGACGCTTCACCATCCTTCTCGACAATCTCCCATGAGCCGGAAGTTGTTTTCGTTAAACGATCTGCGTGATTATACGTTAGTTAAGGTAAGACTGCGTTTTTACCATATGAAATCCTACCCGGATGTCGTGGATGCATGTTGTCCGGCGAAGAGCCAACGCGTCGGTGCTTATTTTTGGCCAATTTCGGTGTCTGTCCCAGTGCCTGTGAAGGAATCATATCACTTAATATTTGGTAACAAAGAAAAAAATGTAAATTCCCACAAAATATAAATAAATTTGACCTGCAAATAGCATTCGAAATTCTACCCACAAAATAATACATATAATAATTTCCTGCGGGTTTAATAATGTTTAATATTCAATCAAAAGTGTTTTCGGTTAGTTTTGCTAGCAGGAAGCAGATTAAAAATTAATATTATTAACATGGGCAACTTATGGTAAGCGTTGATTAATAAGATTAGATTGAAACATAAAGAAATGTTAGTAAGATGTCAGGGTTGTGAAGGTTAGAGTGTTAAAGTACAGGATCAAGGTCCTTGGCAGTGTTTTTTGTTTGTTTTTTGGCAGAGATAAGGAGGCGATTTCGATCGATTTGTTAACTACTTACTGCTGTGGCCTGGCCACTGCTCAACTGATGCTGCAGTTGCTGCTGCTGATATTGCTGCAGATGCTGGACAATGTTGGGCCGCTGGGACAGCGGAAAGGCATTCTTCAGGTTATCGTTCTGCACCGCCGTTGTGGTGGCCACTAGCGGATAATTGAACGCGCTGCTACCCATCGAGTTGGGCTGGGCGAGATTCTGGCAGCTGCCACGACTCATATCCTCCGTCATCATGCCTGGTAAACGCGGTGGTAGCGGCGGCGGTCCTCCATCCACTTCGATAGATCCACCAGCTGCTCCACCCGCCGCACTGGCCGACGATTCCATTTGCAGGAACATCTGCGTGGACATCTTGGGGTCGGATAGGGCCTTCGCCTTTGCCTTGGAACGCTTGGACTTGGCATTGTTGCTGGGACTATTGTCGGTGCTGTTCGGCGATCGGTTCATCTGGGGACTGGTGGCCCGATCCAGATCGGAAACAGGAGCCATCAGATGACCTCCACCGCCCGGCGACGCATTACCATTCTTCAGATCCAACAGTAGCTGTCTGGGCGGATTCCGTTGCGGCAGTGGCGGAGGCACATCCTCCTCAATCAGACTCTTTGAAATAAGGAATTTATTCATGCCCTTTGACGACGATGAACCGGATTCTTTGAAGCGTTGCTGTTGCTGCTGCTGATGCAGGTGGAAGGGATGCGAGGTGGGCGTGGAGGAATGCTGGTGCAGCGACTGCGACATGGACTCTGCCTGATGGCTCAACCGCTGCTGTTGCAGGAAGTCCGCCGTGAGGCCGAACGGCGACGAGGCTCCGCCGATGTCCTTTTCAATCTTGTTCTTGCGAGTGCCCAGCGACAGGGACGAGAGGGAACGCGGCAGGAGGGAAAGGAATGCGGGTGAAGTGCTAGTTGGCGTTGGCTGTTGCTGTTGCGGATAGTTGTTGTTGTGGAGATTGTGGTGGTGGTGGTGGTTTTGGTGGTGAAGATGATGGAATTGCTGATTGTTGTGAGTGGCGGACGCAGACAAGTGTTGGATTTGGTTGGGCGTTAGTAATGCTGTGTTCTTATTGCCGGCGGCTGACTGCAGCTTAACGGTCGGTGCGTCCTGGGTTAGGGTATATCATCGATCATGGGTGGTGGTGTGCGTTAGAATGCCGCGAGATGGAAGAGAAAGAGTAGAAAGGTCATCATGTAGCATCATCATTTTAGATTCACCTGAACCCCTTCCGTCCTTCCTAGAAAGGCACTCTTCCTTTTATTTCAAAGGACACGTCTCAAACCAAAAGTTGTTGTTACGAACAGCGAGGACTAGCTTGCTTGCGTTAGGCTGAATTATAATTATTAGCTGGGTTAACAGAGCGCGGCGCCTGGGCAGGATATCTTCGGTGACCTTGGCAGCTTACCTGAACTATCAAATAAAAAACCACCCTCACTCACCTCGGCTCCCACTTGATGGAGCTGCTCCCGCAGCTTTTTGATGTTCGCCTCCGATAGCTTGTAGCTGGGATTGTTCTGGTCGCTCTTTAAGCGCTCCAAGTTCAGTTTCTCCTGCTCCAGCATTTTCTGCAGCGTCTGGATCTTGTACGTTTCCATCTCGCGGCGCTTGATGCTCTGTAAATAATTATATTGTTAAACTTTTTCGCTCGCTCTAGACAGTCCTAAACTACTCACATCCACCGGCTGTGGTCCAGTTATGGAAGCAGTACGATCTCGCCCAGAGAGAATAGGAGTTTGGGGCGTCGTCACAACAGACACGGAAGTGGGTCGCGTTACTTTCTGACTTCGCTTCACCGCCAGTTCAACGGTTGTGGATGCTGAAAACACACAAATATAGAGCATTGTTTTATCTGTCAATAAACTAAAATTTTATGCAAAACAAAATTGATCATGATCCTACAGAAGCTCGTGAACGTGTTTGCATTTGCTGGCGCGTTTTACGTGTCCCATAAGCTGGGTGTTTGGTATGATCCAGTGGACACCGAAAGCAATATATCACAACCAGTGGAGATTGAAAAGAGTAAAGATCAGCCCGTGGATATAAAGAACAACGATCAGAACTCCATCTTGAGTGAGGAAGACAAGCGGAGGTTACAACGCGCCAAAGAGGACTTGGAGAAGAAAGTTTGCACTAAGCATGGCCTATGCGAGCCAACTCCAAAGCCACTTAGCGAATCTGTTAGCGAAGCCTTCTATGACACTTGGTTGGCTCTCAAGAAGATCCCTTCCTTCTGGGCACGAACCGCAAATAACATTGGCGAAAAGATTTGTCGGTTTTTCAGTGATGACTAATAGAACAAGAAATAGAATACAATGCTTCCAAGAGCCTGTAGGATCAAACCCAAAATAAAAGCAATCAAAGTAGACCCAGAAAAGGGGTTTTTTTAAATAATAAACTAAAATGTATCTCTTGAAAGGGATCACAAAAATTGTTTGAAACAATCTTTTAATCGAAAAACAGAGAACCAAAATTGCTCAAGTATGTCTTTCAAATTTTTGGCTGGTTGGGACAAGCCTGTGGAGGAGTCAGTAGCACAAGTGGATTCAAAGGACCCCACCTTTGAAAATGAGTTTCCTCTTTGGGCTCCGCACAACTGCAACTTGGCTCTGACACGAGGATTTTACTTTTCTCTTCGCCTGCCCGACTGGGTCAGGGATTTCAAGCACCAGACTCGGGAGATCCTTGCTCATCGCTTCGATCCGCTAAAGAGAAACAGTGAGAATAAGGTCGAAAGTCTAAAGCAATCCAATCACTACGGAGATGCCCGGTCAGAGCGTTATGGCATGACTTTCTCGGAGAGTCCATTCTTCGAAGGCATTTCGCGGGAGAAGGCCAGGAGAGTGGAACGATTGCCCAAGATCAAGGATGATTTGACTTGCGGCAAGAGAGTTTCCAATTCTCAGACGCCTTTGCCATGATCTGTCATAAAATTATCAAACACCTTGAAAGCAGCAGCAGTCGGATTCGGGGTACCGTAACTCCACCAGATAGCAAACAGCAGACAGCAGCATGGTAGTCGGCCTAATAGTACGGGCGGGCGTTGTTTATGCCATAATCCTGGTCACCAAGAAGTACGGCGTCTGGGACTCTCCTGATGTTGCTCAGGAGGTGTATGCCGATGCTGCCGAGCACATCGAACCATATGCGGATAAGGCTCGCCGCCAATTAAACATCTGCCCGCCCAGACCACCGCCGCAGGGCGAGTGGTCGTTCTTTGGCATCCACTACTACAACAAATTGGTGAAAGCATTCTTCGACGTTCTAAGCCTTCTACCCTACGGAATGGCACTGGTCCTGGAGAACGCACCAGGCTATTTCACCGCTATGTATGAATACATTCGCAAGTTGCTCCCGGATGGCGAAAAGTCAAAAAGAAGGAAATAACAATATCCAAGGGGCAGCTGGATGAAACGCCATTGGTCAGGCCACATTGTCAGGACAAAAACTGTCCTAAGAAGCCACCTCTAATTCCGCCTCCCTGCCCCAAGTGTAAAAGCGACAACTTCATCTACGAACCCCGTATACCAAAGAATCCGAGATGCGAGTGCTCCAAGTGCAAGGAACGCCCGCGGGAAAAATGGTCAGAAAATGAATGCACCAGAAATCTAATTCCAAAGAAGAGCAAATGTGCCTGTGGCGAACCTGTGTACCAAGAGCCCAATAAATCTAGCAAGAAGAACTAGGAGTACAGCGCATCAATACCCTAACGAAATTTCTGTGTAAAGCGTTATCTCGGCGAATAAAACTTACCTTTGATGAGACCCACAACTGTTGGGTGCTTCTCCTGCCGCACTTCATGTCCATTAACCTGAAAATATTAAAGTTATGTTAGGAAATCCTCGGTTGCGATAGGTAAAAATGCATCCTACCTTTAGTATCATATCGCCAGCAACGAGACCAGCAACCTCAGCTGCTCCGCCCGGCTTGACGCTTTCCACGAATACAGGATTGTCGCCGGAAACCTGAAAACATAAGGGATGATCCATTGTATTTTTGTTTAGTATAAGTACTTATTAGCAACAACCCCCATGGCCTTAGAATGAATCATTTAAACGAGTTAAAGTCACAGTTAGACTTTAATTTGGCATTAGTATGCAAATATTCAGTAAGTGCTTAAAGTACTCAACTTTAAAATGAGCCATAAATTAAATTATGATGATAAGTTACTTGCACATTTTTAAGGGCGTTATAATGAATATTTTTAGATACTTTTGTTGCCATTTTAACATTTATTTGATTCAGTGGTTTACAGCTCAAATGTTTTGTATTAGAATGAGAAGTAGTATAGATTCTAATAGACCAAACTCACCTTCATTCCATATCCGTTGCCATCCTTCCGCACAGTCAAAGTTAAATACTGAAAATTTTTTGGTAATGCTAGGCTTGGCGTCGTCGGCGTTGTAGCTGGCGTCGTGGACTCCTGGTAATGGAGCTCCCGGTTAAGGGGTGTCAGGTTGAGACTGCTGCGCTCCCCAGGCGGCGCCTGGAGAACAGGATTGGCGCTACTATCCCCGCCCATTATGCTGCCGTTATTATTGCTGCCAATATTGCCTGCTGCATTGCTGTGGTTGTTGTTGTGGGATGTGGGCGTAGCTGGTGCAGAAACACCACCGCTACCACCAGCTGCAGCTGTTGCTACGGTCGTGTCACCATTCATCTGGCTCTGCTTGTAGCTCGCTGGCAACGGCGGCGTTTGGGGGGGCACGGAACTCTGGTTGTGGTTCTCCTTATCTTTATCCCGATCCTTGTCCCGATCTTTGTCCCGGTCCCGATGACCACTCAGGCTGCTAGCCAGACTGCTCAAGCTGCTCGCCAGTGACGGGGACCGTGGTATTTTCGACTTGTTGGCCGACTGCTTCTGTTTCTGTTTGTTCTTGGAATTCTTTACAGATTTCTGCTTGGGTGCTGGCAACTCGGGAACCGAATCCACAACAATGGCTGGCGTTGGTGACGCAACTGATGCCGATGGGCCTGCTGTTCCTGCTCCAGTTGCAGTTGCAGTTCCAGTTCCGGTGACTGTCCCAGGTTGACTGCCTGAGCTAGTGGCGCCGTTTGTGCTTGGATTCGCTGTTGATGATGATGACTCCGGGGGCTGAATGCTTGACTCTTCTGGCAGCTCCTGAACTTCATCGTATTCATGTTCGTCAGCATACAAGTCTATTAACCTGTGGAAGAAGATGTTCAAGGGAAATTTAAAGGGGAAGTCAATAAATATTACCAACGTTTGATATTAATGTATAAATTATGTTTTATGTTAGGTAAAAACTATATTTAATGCACAGCATAGTATTAAAATAACTATAATTTATTTATGCAATATAGACATGAAAAGGTTTTACATTTTTTAAACTTCCTAATATCTAGCTGATAACCTATGTATTTCTATAAGTAATCTTAATTATAATGAACTTTTCAACAATTTTACCTATATTTTGTGGTTTTGTATATATATATTAAAAGATAAAAATTAACATTAAAAATGTTTCATTTGTACTTAGTAATGTTAAAAAAACAATTAAGCACTTTTAAGTGCAGCAAAGAGCCATGAAAAACCACATTTATTTTGATTTTTTTAATAGCCTACACAATCCTCCCCCTTTAAAATCCATTTATCTGCAGCATTTCGCACAGATTGTCAATTCAAAATCGTCTATGAGAGGCAATCAATTTTGCTAAAGCACTTCATGACGGAACTGTTTTCTGCTTACTTTTCTCGATGACCATACCCATACGGTGTGGTGTTCTGTTTTTTAACGAGCAGATAGCTAGATTAGGGGCTAATCAAGACCTCGGGACGTGAATGCGCGACAATCATGTAACGAAAGTCACGGCCAAAGCTAAAGCAAAAGCCAAAGCTAAAGCTGAAGCAAGAGCCAAGCGATCTCTCGTTGACGTTGACGGTGGGTCTCTTTTAATTGAGCTAAAATTAAATCAGCCAGAAGAATAGATACAGTTTAATTGCTGTTTATTTGATCATTTTGCATGTGAATGGAATGGATATACACGAGAGTATGTACGTGCGGATTTGTCTATACACCGGACTATTATAAAAGCTCATTTCCCGCCTGCTGAATTCATCATCATCATCATTATTATGATGAGATATTTCCATAACGGCCGGACGGACAAGACCTCCAAAAGGCCAAATGTTTACATTAATTTTTTGACTGATTGGCCCATGTCAATAACATGTCTCTCTGCTTGATCTAAGAGAATTCTCTTGGGTCTATCTTTAGCAGCTAAATTTGGGATCTGGGCAAATCTCAGCTGCAGCCGGTGAGTAAAACCAGTTAATGCGCACACAAATTAAACCCTGATGGTCTGTCGAATAATATGAATAGCAGCAACTAGCCAAGTCAGAGCTGTTAATAGATTTAAATCATTTTGCATGCATATTATACAACGCGTAGTTAGGCAAAGCAGAAACACCACCACGATTTGCGGCACACCACCAAAAACAGACACAAACAACATGCTTAGAAAGTCATTGGTTTCGCCAATCTATTTGGGCTAAAACTTCCCCTGGTGGCAATAAAAGAAATAAATGGTAAAATGTGAAAACTGGCCGCTCCCTAAGTTGGTGGCACTATATACATATGTATTAAGTCATCCAGTTGGTAGTCGAAACCACAAAAAACCACCCCAAGCCAGGGGGAACTATTGGTAAAAACAATCAGCAAACAGTGCGTTTCACAACTGTGAGTTTGGCTAAAAAGTTTTGCCCTCGCCAATTGACGCTTTCCGAACAATGTTAAGTGATTAATCATCGGGCAATTGAATTTGTAATTTATTACAAACAGTTGAGCAGTGATCTAATGCAATACATTATCTCATGAGCCACATAACTTTTTACGGCCACCAAAAAATTGATTATATTATATGATTTTTCCTAACTAATCGGAATCTGGTTTTAGATCATTTTTATACCTGTGAAAGGGTAGTCAGAAGCTAGTATCGTTGTCAAGGACTCATTTCCGACCCTATAAATCATATATATTATTGATCAGCATCAACAGCTGAGTCGATCTAGCCATCTTAGGCAAAACAAATTTTGTTTAAAGGGTTAAAAATTGGCAAAATATTTAATTTTTTTAAATATTAAATTGACTATGCAGGGTTATTCACCTAATAAAAACTAACTCAGGAAAGCATTCCGAATTAAAATTAATTTTTTTTTTTATTAGTTATGACTTTTTGAAACTTTGATTTATCGAGAAATTTTTATATTTTAAGCTTATTTATGAGCAATTTCCAAGGGTATAACAACTTGGGCAAACCAAAGTTAGTTTTATTTCTTCTTTAAACTTTAACTTACTAAAGTTTGGGTTAATTATCCTCTTGCATTATATGGCCTGACCACAATCAATCCTTGATTTTATTTAAATTATTTATCAGCCACAAACAGCTGACATTGCCTATGATATTTAAATTGGAAATTCACTTATACTACTTAAAGTAAATGCTTAATCGCATGTTGCATGCACATATGTCGTACGAATATAAGAAAAACAATTATTAACGTCTCCCAAGGAAAATAATAAAAGGGGTATGATGATAATGATTTATCGTCACTTTTGCGTTTCCCAACTATGACTAATAATATTCTCTTGTTTTTGTTTCGCAACTGTATTGAGAACATTCATAGCTACATAGTAAGATTAATTTTTTGGATATAGTTTACTATAGTTTACTATAGTTTTAAAATCAATACATGCATACCACAAATATTATTACCTAATCAGTTTTATAATATGTATAATACAGCTTTCTGTGCGAACTTTGTTTGTATAGTAATTAGCACGATAGTTCCCAAAAGATACCGTATCTTTTGGATATGTATTTATGGACCTTTAGAGTGGGTTATTATTGAAATTTCAATTTAATGAACTTCTTTGAAACAAAAACATGCACTTAGTTTTTTCTTAAAAAATCTGACAAATAAAACTGTAAGCAAAGTACATTTTGCAATAAGTTTAGCACCATCACCTTGTAAAAAACATCAAGAAAATCGGCGCAGTGACGAACTCACAGTTTTTTTATCGATGGGTCATCCATAGGATTTTCTGCGATGGCTTTTGTTGGCTGCTGCTGCTGGTGCTGTGCGAAGGCAAAAAGGCGAATTCAAAGGCATGCGTAAGCCACTTGTCGGCGGAGTCGGAGTATTCACATTCGTTGCTGGACCAGAGTCACTATTTTGCTATTTTTATTTTAGCTTTTAGAAGCTATTTTCGAAGCGTTTTATTTGCGTCGATTTTCGATTTTCGGCTGCCTGCTGCCGTGCGCTGCTGCTGTCAGTGTATTGTTTGTTTTTTTATGGGTTCTCCGTTGCACTGGTTGAATGGATTTTGTATTTCGCACTAGTACTATTCGTTTGAAGATTATATTGCCGTTAATGCATGTACATTAAAATATTTTTCGTTTCGAAGCGGGGGCGTTACAGGGGTCGGGGATGTGTGTAAAATGCAGGCACCGCGATCTCCTTGCAATTTCATTGTTTTTATTCCAACACAAACACTCACACACACGGACGCTCTCGCTCACTCGCACACACCCACGGCAGACCGTACACATTTATTAGTTGTCCCCTTCCTTAGCTGGCTCTGCGCTCTCACACTTCCGTTAACGTCTGCGCGCTCTCTGTGGGCCGCTTTGTTGTTTTTCTTTTTTCCTGTGTGCTTTTTGCTGACTAGTTTTCACGAAACATTTAATGGATGACGACTACGCCTCGGTGGGCGGGGGAGGGGTTAGAAAACAAGTTTTTGGCCGAAAAAAATCAAACACTAATACTGGGACTGGGACTGGGGCGGTCCTGGCTAGACTAGACTAGACTAGCCTCGCCCTGGACTAGGACTTCTATCCTACTTTCATCACAACAGCTGATTGTTCAATTAGCGTGACAGAAAAAAATAAAAACAACTGGCTGCACACTGATCTCATCCCGATTGTGTTTGCTTAGCTCGCCTAAATAAATCAAATCTTGCAACTTCACTCCTTTTTAATTAAAAGCAAATATTTAATTGAATAAATATGTATACACACAAACGCCCCGAGCGTGTCTTCGTACGCGCCTGTGTGTGTGTATGAGGTTGTGTGGGGGTGCGAGTGCGATCATCGCCGCAAACGCAAACGCATTTTGTGTGAAATTTTGTCTGTATGTCTCGTCTGTGTGTGCGTGTGTGTCTGTGTCGACTGCTGAACTCTTGAACTGCAGTACGTCGTTTTAATTCGATTTTGGGGATGCGCGGCTTGGGGCGGCGGGCGATCGACTTAATGAGAGTACACGGTAAACAACTGGACACCCTGCCACACTCGGATTATTTTGTTTTGTCGCCAACAAGTGGCGGCGGCAGCCATATTGTTTTGTAAAATAAATACATATGCCATCATACATATGTACGTGTGTGATTGTGTGCGCGATAGGTTAGAGATCACTTTTAGACAAATTTGCGTAAAATTTCCTGGCAAAGCCAATTGCTCTTGCGAGCTCGATTCGCGAATAAATTTTGCATTTGGCGAATATGCACGTATTCAGTTGCACCAGTATTTAATGCACGCCCGTATGTGTGTGTGTTTGTGTCCGTGTTTGAATTTTATTGCTTTTGTTTGCTACTGCATGAGCTCACTGCGCATCATTCTTGCTTTTCACTTTTCCCCGTTTTTGCCACGCACTTACTATAAACTATTGTATTCCGTCAGTCTGAGAACTGTTTTTTACACTTATCGCGCCATCAACAAAACGTTCCAATTCTAAAAATTCAAAATGATTTTAATTTTTGATATTTTTCTTTTGCTCTGAGTTCCGATTAATTTTTAGATATTTTTCCTTTGGTCACTCTGAATACCGAAGTTATTTATTAATTAATCTTTTGGTCACTCTGAATTTAGAGCCTGTTGTTCAACATCTTACATCTTACACGTCTAGAAATCAATTTTATACGGTTACATTTACATGGGGTCGAATTCTCGTTTTCGGGGGAGAATTCTTATGTATACTGTAAAATTTGTAACATATCCGCTCTCTTTTTCTTGTTGGCAGTCGGGAGGATGTTAATTAGCAGAACTCCCTATCCGGTGCAGTCGGCAGTCGGGTCGTTGTTGTTAAAAATACCAATATATCGAAAGTTTTTCTTTGTATTTTTTGATAGTTTGTTTCTGGTCTCTCAATCCCGAAGCTGTTATTTCACATTTTACACGACTAGATAACATTTTGCACGCTTACATGTAGTATTGTACGAAGTAAAATTCATTAACAGACGTCACTCTGTATTTTGAAACTGTTATTTGAAATTGTACATCTAAATGTCCGCTCAAAAACGAGGCTGCCAGAGGTCGCGAGCCCTGGAACCACCGCAATGTTGTACAACACTCAGCTGACTCGGCTGGCAGTTTTTCAACACTCGGATCCAAATCAAAACAAACGCACACAAACACCCCCGCCCACCCCTCTCACACACACATACCCACACAGCGCAGACAACAAACGCGGGAATTTTCAGAAGTGTCGTTTATTCTGTGACGATCTCGGGGCTTGCCAAACAAAAGGCAGGGCAACGCACCCGGCGCCCTTTGAGATATCGGACGTTGACGTTGCCTAGGACAAGGCGGGTCCCACGAAATAAAGCAGCAAGACCACTAGATAATAGAGCAGTAGTCCTATAAATGCCATGCTGTAGTTCCCGTTTTCCCGGTTTGTGCGCCGCAAAGAGGCGCACCTCTGGCGTCATGAGGTAGTGGTGGCCGCCGCCTCCTGGACGGGACTCAGGTTGCCCACCACATCGGCGCCCACATTATCATCGTCGTCGGGAAGCGGGCTTTCGATTATACGGAGATCCTTGAGGTCTTCATACTGCATGCTGGCTATTTTCTCCAAGGATCGGTCACTTATGTCCTGCAGATCCGGCTCTGCAGGATGCAGACGACTCAACTCCAGCAGCTGTAGATGGTAGTAAACGCCCTCGTCATCGATGGCATAGAACTGCGAGAACTTGGCATCGGTGAAGAATTGACGGGCCTCGTTGCCCACAAACTTGATGCAGGCCAGGAGTTCGGGCCGGATGGCATTGCCGCGCTTTTTCCGCCACAGCGGAACATCTGCTGGTGTCTGGCGTTCGGGAAAGAATTCGCGGGCTGCAAACGGAGAGTCTTCGTCCATATCAAAGGCTATGGGGGCCGCATCCACAGCATCCTCTTCCGGCGTGGCACTGTGCAGCTTGTGGCGGCGACTGCGCCTTTGCTGCTGATGCCGTTCCACCTGGTTGTTGCGCATATGCGTCACGTTCCAGAAGCACAACTGCTCCGCACAGCTAATCAGCAGGAGTTTGCAAGGCGAGAAGCGTAGCTGGCGGATGCAGTGCTCATGGACATCCTGCACCCTGTAAACCAACTGAATCTGTTGGTTATCCAAGGCATAGAGCTGCAAAGCACATTATTAGATCGAATTTAACCAATGGATAACGAATCCTCAATCCTACCTCTATGGAGCCATTTTCAAAGCCCAAAGAAAACATGCTGCCATCCTCAGTGGCGGCCAGGTAGCTGATCTTTGCCTTTTGACCAATCTCTTCTTCGCAGATCCGTTCGTACCTCAATTGGGTGCCACTAAAGACGATTCGTAGAACCTAAGGATCGGATTTTCATTTAATTTTATCACTCTTTGTTTACGCATTTCCATATCTCACCTCTATGGTGTTGTTTCCGTAGACCAAAAAGAGAAGTCCATTCTTGAGATCAAAACCAACAAGGCTTTCCACTGACTCTTCTGGTTTATCAAATGCCGAGGGATTAGCGAGATCCAGGTGCTGTTAAAAAGTAGGTTAAAGTAATTAGTTTAAAGAAAAATGTAAATAATACTCACGCAGACTCCGTTGTCGGAGAACAGGATAATGAACTGTCCTCCTAGAAGACACGCGTACTTGGTGCCCACATCCAGCTGTAGCGGCCACTGGTCATTGGCCAGGCCATTATCAGCTCTTCCCAGTTGGAATATCACAGTCTTTTGAGCGCCATGGGCAGATGCCACCAAAAACTGAGCGCTAATCTGCTTGAGGTAGTCGATAGGCTCTGCAATAAACTGTTGCGGCAACACCGCATCTCGATTGACATCGATGATCACGCCATCAATATAGCCAACAAATATCTGTTCATCGTTCAGAGCGGATATGGAAGTTATCCTTCTGTTGCTGGCAGCATGCGTAGGTGTAATTGTAGACCACGGCGAAATGCTAGACCTTCGACGGGCACAGGGATCGGTTGCCGTTTCGATTTGATGTATTCGCTCTTTGGAATCCACGGCCAGGAGCTGCGTCCGCCCGCTGGTCATGTCTAGCAGCGAACGAAGGTAGACATTGGGCTCCAGGCAAGCCCTGGTCATCACACTCGTCTCATCTGCACTGTGCACCCAGGCGATTCCGCGACCTCGACGGGAATTAGCGCCGCTCACGGATCGCAACGTGTGGACATGTACCAATTGCTTGCCCTTGGCACCACACAGAACGATGTACTTGTAGACTGCATCACAGAGCTCGTATATATCCACACATTCGATATGTTCGCTGACATTGCTCCGGAGTACGGGATCAGAGCTACGGAGATCATACACGATCAGACCCTCTGTGGTGCCCAGCAGAAGGTAGTCTCCGTCCGTAGACCGCTTGCCGCAGGTGATATAACTGCCTTCGGGCAGCTGCACTGCCTCCGATTGCAGGTTAACATTAAGGCCTGGGAGGAAGTTGAGTCGCCAAACGCTGTGCTTGAAGATAAGCAAAACGCTGGCGTTCTGGTTCCGTCCGTTGATTGCATCCAACGACAAAGGTCTGTCGTTGTGGACATCGAAATTCGGGAGTTCCGGTCTTTCGCCGGAACCATTGTTCAGATCCCACACAGTCAGCGTGCAGTTGGCGGTACAGACTACGTAATATCGCTTCAAGACCAGGACAAAGCTTCGGATTTCCATCTGGGAGGTCTTCAAAGTGGGCGTCTGAGAGGGCTTGAACACCTGATCTTTCTCATCCCAATTCAAGATGCTGACATCACCATTGCTGAAGGCCACATGCAACTGGATCTTGGAGTCTGCCGCCACAGATGCCTGCTCATCCAAATAGAATGCAGTTATTTTTTGATCGGTGTAGCTCCCAATGAATCGCTTAACCACGCTGTTTACCAGCTGTTTGTAGCTACGGGTACCGGTCGGCTTTCGCAGTTGTGCGGAGCCCGGAGGACGCACACGCTGTTTGCTGCCGCCACTGTGTCGCCTGCCCGGGCAATCGGGCCAAAGGGGCCAGAGTTTAACGCTGCCGTTGCTGTGCATAGTAATTAAATGCCGTTGGTTATTGAACACACCCATTCGGAGGATATCACTGCTATCGTTTTCATCCCTCAGTAGGTAAGTGTCTTCAGCCTCGAGCGAGACATCGGTGAGCAGCAGCTGCTTGCTGGCCAGCGCCATCAGACAAAAGTCGTTGTTCAAGTAGACTGCGTGGCGGACTTCGTTGTTGCCCAGATTGATGATCTGCCGGTGCTGATGAAAGCGACCACTGGAAAACGGAGAAATAATTTAATTGGAAATAAAGATTGTAAGACCAGGTACTCACTGCTCTGTGAACCAAACATGATCCTTGAATCGTTGCACCTGTCGATGGGCCTCCTCAAAAATGGCCTCATCCTCGGCCATCAGTGCGATTCTTAGAAGGTCCGTGAATTTTGAGCGTATAAGACTCTCCTCGATCTTGGGCAGGAAATCCAGAATGGCATTCACCAGACGCTCATACTTGGAGTCATTATCTGAACGAATAATTGTCAGAGTAATTGCGAGATTTCTTTGTTTCTAATCATTGTACATACCGCAAATATATGACTTGTAAAACTTCAGCTGCTGCAGTGTGTTCAAGATCGATCCGCTGGCATTCCAAGCCGTTGTATCGTGGCGAATCTTTTGTTCCAGGAAGCGAAAATCGAGGAATACCTTGCGAAACAGAGCCACTCGCTCAATGGGCTCAATGGTCTTCAGATGGTGTCCAATGTGGCCATAAAAATATGTATCCAGGGAAGGCAGTATCAAGTCGTCATGATCAAAGGCCCTGGGGATGCTTTAAAAGAGAGAAGATAATGCCATATTATTTTAAACCTTAAATAGTTAAATATATATCGAGATATATTAATACATTTTTTAAGGTCAAGGCCAAAACTCACTCATATCTATCAACGATCCTCCGATTTAAGACAGCAACGTCATCAACCTTCACACTCAACTCCAAGTATATGGCGGGTATACTAATGGTTGAGTTTTTCGGCTGCTTCTCTACCAACGAGTACTTGTGCAGCTTGTTTACCACCACCATCGCATCATCGCCATCGGATTTGTCATCGAAGAAAACCAGAGATAGGAGCTGGAAAACGCTAAAGATTAGAAACGACGAACGAACGACTAGATTTCAAATCTCACGCACATCGATGGGTATGTGGGCAGACGGAGGGAATATGGACAGTCTGTCAAACATTTTCCTATAAGCAGCGGGTTCTAGAACATTCAAAGAGCCCTCGATTATGGACGTCAGCTTATCGCAATTTACACTAAAAATGTAAGCGGGTTAAGTAATTTAATTCGTTGTTAATCTTCAATATCTACTCACTGCTTCCAATTGTCCCAGGTGGCCAGACCATCGCGAATGCTCTCGGCAATGATACTCAGCCGGCGTGGATTTGTGGTTAACACTTCCCTGGGCAAGTCCTGCGATCGGCATTGGAGATATTTAAGAAACAAAGACTCGACTTCATCAGCCGTCGGCGTCATCGAGTGTTCATCCAGGGAAATGTGAGTTGTGGTAGCCGGTGACAAAAAGTCGGCGACTCTTTTGAACCTGGTGGTTAGCAAGATTTTGCAGCTTAAGTTAAAGGCACTCCAAGCGTTTTCGTTTTGCACATTTCGAAGGACAAGCAGGCAGTTCTCGTACGGCTTGCTCTTCAGGAGGCGGCGCAAGTCAGCCTGGACACTATGGATCCGCAGCTTGATGTTGCTGCCATGCTCACTGCGACTGCTGCAATTGGGATCGATCTGATGCAGCAGTGTTTGCAGCATTTCTAGCACCGTCTCCGGACTAATGCAATTCTTCATGTCCAACCAAAAGATCTTAAAGTCCATCTTGCACTGAACCTTGTAAGAGGAACAGACGTCCAGAGCTAACCAATCTTTACCAGAGCCCAAAATGCCATCGACCAGGACGTTTTGGGCTGGCCGAAGATTGAGGAGGGCCTCCGTCAGTTTCAGGTACTGTTAAAAAAAGATTTGGTATTGAGATTTTACATTCTTTGATTACTTTATGGTATGAATTTATAATCCCTATATATGGGGTTAGGTTCCTGGCATAATTTTTGAGTGAAGTTTAATATAAATACCTCATGAGTTACTTTAAAAATTAATATACGTTATGTTCAAAAGTTTTTGATAGGGGGAAAAAATAAATACAATATTAAGGGGTTTTTACGACGTTAATAAATTATGAAAATTATGATTAATTCTACTGACAACTAATGTTTACCTAACAATAAAGAAATAAAGAATACAAATCAGATTAAGGCGATTAGATAAAGAGAGAAAGAGGTCTTCCTACCGGTTTGAGGCGATTCACATTGTACTTGGAAAACAGTTGGTTATCGTTGTATAGCCGATCCCGCTGCTCTATATATAGTCTAGTCTTCTCGCTCGGCCGCTGGTGCTCTTCCTTGATGGCTGCCATAAGGAATTCATAGTTGGGTTGGTCCTTTGGATTCAGCACTTCCTCGACGAAAGCCTTTATGGTTTTTTCGCCCTTGGCAATGAGGGTCCAAAACAGGCGGTACGTGGACTCCTCCGGATCCCTGGACTTGACGATGTGATCGATTTCCTCTTTGGAGAGCATCTTGTAAAGAATGTCCTGGACATCTTTGCAATCGAAGTCATCGATGAATGGGTCAAGGAATACGAATAAAATGTCCTTGTAGCGATATTGCTGGTAATTCGTATCATACTCCATGTTGATCTTAATGTGGCACTGGGAAGTGTAGAAAAAAAAAGAACGTTTATTATGTGAGATGCTATTGAAATCCCTAGGGATTTAAAATCTGTTTGCAAAACCTTTAAGGATCGCCATCCGTTCAACTCTACAGCTTTAAAATAAATAGTTAAGCCTATGAAACGCATTGTACAGAATGCACATATATTTTTCAATTCTCTTGGCGCCAAGTGGTCATGACCCACTTAAATTGAATGCAACAACATCGCAGTGGAGACCGCCAAAAGATCAACGCTTTGGCCAAAATTAAATTAGAGGAGTCCGGTGGCTAGCCTCCGAAAGCGGCTCCACAGGCCGAGATCGGGATGTGTGTAATTTCACAACAATCCGCTGCCAAGGAGACAAACGTGATCAGCTCCAAATAACTCAGAGATGCAACGTGAGTGGCCATGAGGAATTGAATCCGAAAAGGAAATTCTGGTTCTGTGCACTCAATGCCCCAGCTACAAATGGGGCTCGACCCAGCTCCGATCAGACCCCACTATTTACTCCATTAATTAATTCAAGCTAAGATAAGCTGGCAGCGGATGAGTCACTTGGCTGCGGGGGGAGAGACGTGCGGAAAGTAAGTGCGACAACAGATAGATGTCAATGAACTTGGGGGCGCCTGTGTGGGTGAGTCGCACGCGTCACAGTACAACAATTAAAAGGGGGAAACACAAAAGAATATTTGCAAGGAAACAAACTAAAAACCGGGGAGGTACGCAAATAAATAGCAAATTAATTATCCGCGGCGACATCCCAGGAACACGCCACTAACGCACACAGGTGTCTCGGTGTCCTTGTGGGGCGATGCACCTGCCCGACGAACACTGCATCTATACTTACGCTCCGTTTATTTATAACGAACAAACGTCCGTCAATCCTTATATTTAATTTATATGTAAATATTGCACTTAATCTTAAATTAGTTTATGCTGCACTTGTCGCACTCTCTCTGTGTTCACATGGCGTCGTTGTCACACGCGGAGAAAAAAATGTTGTGAACTAACAATAACAATTATTAAAATCGCACAGTCGATTTAACAAAAACAAACTATAATAATTCCTTTTTTATATTTTACTATTGGTCACTCTGAATTCCGAAGATATTTATTTTTCGATATTTTGGTCACTCTGAATTCCGAGGCTGGAATTTAACATTTTACTTCCTAGATAATCATTTTACACGTTTACAGATACATACATGGTTTCGAATTCTCATTTTAGGGGTAGAATTCTTATGTATGATGTAAAATTTGTAACATTCCGAAGCTGTTATTTCACATTTTACATGACTAGATACTTAAACACGTTTACAGATACATGTATAATTATCATGTAAAATGTGCAATTCGTAACATATCCGCCCTCATTAACAAAGGAGAACGTAAATGAACAGAATTTTCTGTCGTTGTCACTTCAGCTTTTATCCCGCCAAATTTGGCTTTTTTGGAATATCAGACGCGCGAAACAATTGAGAATTGCGGGAAGTCAGGATTTTTTACAATTTATTTGGTACTTTTTCCTTTATTTTTAAGCTACATCATTGCGAAAAGTGTACCATTTTTATTTTATAAATATGCCATCTGCGTGCAAGAGTCTCACAAATTGACCATTTGGATAACTTATGCATCAAGTACGCTTGTTGAAAATATACCAAAATATCAATATATCGATATTAACAAGTGATGTTTTATATTATATGTGTTTATACAAAAAACATCATCAGAACGATATTGTTTTTAAATATTCGACAAACCTAATTAAAATTGCAAACAATACAAGTTCAGATGATTAAGTATTGCCAGCTTACCTTATTTATATTTGCTTACTTACTTTGAAAATAAAAAAGCTTAGTAAGGATATAGCGAAAGATGTAGTTTATTTAATATGTATCTAGCAAATTCTAAATATATTATGTCACATTAATATAGATTTTATTTATACTACTTGTGTTTTTTATAAGAAATTAAATCTTAATTTACGGACATGGTGTAATTACATCTCTGTAGCATTTAAAAAACCTTAAAAGTTAAGGAAGAACGAAAAAGGTCAATTACTTTACATTTTATTTCTTTGCCTACAAAATTTGAGTATTAAAATTTACAATGTTATCATTGTCAAATACTTACTTCTTAATTTCCGTATAAAAAAATTCAATCCTGATAAATAAATGTAGTCTAATTTAAGAACATCTTATTAGATATAATACAAATTTAAGGAATTCAAAGATACGTTTTAGCGTGGCAATCAGCGATTAGAGGACCATACTGCGTTGCCGAAATAATACCACATGCCTTTTATAGTGTTGCAAAGTTCAGCGCGGAGGAAGAGAGAACAAGAAAGTTAGGCAAAGGAAGAGGCGAAACCATTCGCCGCGAAAAACAACAAATGAGGAATCTTACTACAGTAGGTATTGCCCATAATTTCATTGTGCCCATTAGAAAGCTTTATAACTAGGATTTATAATGGTTTTTTTGTTCTACACATAGTGAATGTAGGGTAATTCCATTACTGTAAAAAAAGTTGAATATGAACATTCCAAATGAAAAAATTTTAAAAAATTCCTTGAACATTGCAATTAAATAATTAATATGAATACAATTATAAATATTCCTTTTAGAAAAAGAAACAAAGTAATGCAAACATTCATTACATTCACCTGTAAATATAACAATAAATGTAATATTATAATAATAATAATATGAATCATTATAATTTGAAAACTTTTAATTATATATATATTATTAAATATATTTTAAAATATATTGTATTATATTAAATTTATTGAAATATATACATATGTATATATAATTTTTACATTCACAGTTTTGGGTTTTCCTCTACATTTAACGATTGTTTCTATGTTAGGCTTATGATATCGTCTTCCGATTTTAATAAAAATTCTGATATAGTACAAAATGGCTATATCTTAAAATATATGAAAATCTGTTGAAACTGGGAAAGTTAATTTTTTGTTTCTAAAAATTTTCCAATCATTCCCATGGCAGCTATATTATATAGTCATCCAATTCGGTGCTAGTATATAGAAGACTAACTGGAAAGTTTCATTCAGATAGCTTTAAAACTAAGACCCTTGGCTAGGTTGACTCGGCTTTTTATGCTGAGCAAGAATATACATATATTCTTTATATATTCGGAAATGATTTCTTCACTGCGTTGTTAAGTCCTGAATTAAATTACTCTGCAAGAGCAGTAAAATCACATTTTCAGCCCGATAACGCTAGTATAAACAATATTCGTGATGTTAAAAATATACTTAATTTATTAGTCGTTACATATACAGCAGCTCTGAGTTCATTTGGTTGCCGCAAGGCAATTACTACTGTAGTGATTTCGCAAAATCCAACAAGGTATTCGCCGCGAAAAAAAAACTAGGCATTCTCCCTGCCGCCAGGTAATTTTCCGCTAGCCACTTGCGACCACACTGCACGGTGAAAAGGAAAAAAGATTATTAATTTTAATAAGTTTTTCCCGGAGCGAATAATAGGTAATTATCATCGTACATTGGCACTCGGTCGCGTCCCCCAATAAAAAACATCATCCCCCCAAACTCGGCAGCCCGCGAAGAAAGCACGGTAGCACGAGAGCAGAAACCGAACGCAGGCGAAAGTTGAAAAGAGTGACGACGCAAGCAAGCAACGACGAAGCAACAAAAAGAAAATCGGCGACGTATACGTTCAACTTCGACAGAATTAAGGTAGGCATTTTGAATTTCCCAGCTTTACGGCACGAGCTTGAATTTTCAGTAAGTGTGAAAAACACCAAGTGGATTTCGGCAACAAAGTCAAAGCGAAAAAAGGAAAAAAAAGTTGCGCGAGGAAAACAAAATGTCCGCGACCCTGGCGTCGCCGACGCTCGGCATCGGCGTGGAGCTGCAGCGAGAATGTGATTTAACCAGCTTAACGCTAATCTAGCTTTTGTACATCTCTTTCGTTTTCGGCTAACCCCTCCCCGTCCGCAGTGTTTGCCGAATCCAACGCCGCCACCGCAATGTCATGCCGCGCCCCCTTCGAGCCCGAAGAACAGTATAGGCAGCTGCGCCGACCCAATGCTAGCGGCGGATCTGTGTCCGTGGCCGGTGTCATGCCGACCGGAGCCGGTTTACCGCTAGAGCAGCAGACCCATCTCTTCAATAATTACGAGGCCGCCGCCGTCGCCGCCCAGGGCTACGCCCAGGCCCAGGACTTTGCCGCTGGCCCGGCTGTAGCCGGCTATCAGCACCAGGTGCAGACCCAGGGTCAGGTCCATCCAGATCAGTTCAAGCTATCGGCCTCGGCCTCGGAGTTTGTGCCGCAAAGAGCCGGGCCACCGCCGCAGCAGCAGCACCAGCCGCGTCATCAGCAATATCAGGGACAGGGCGGAGGAGCAGCTCCCTATGCACAGCAGCAACAGCAGCAGCGCTTTATGAACGGCTTTAAGCATCATCATCAGCAGCAGCACCACCAGCATCAGCAGCACTACAATCATCACCACAATCAGCATCAGCAGAAGTTCAACAACGACATGCAAAAGCTTTCGATTTCCGTGCAGCACCGCCTGCACCTCAACAACCAGCAGCAGGGCTCGGGCAATTATTATCAGCAGCAGCAGCAGCAGGTACACCAACAGAACACACACCATCACCACCAACAACACCACCAGCAGCAACAGCCACACAACCAACACGCCAAGTTTCAACGGCATGCCCACTTGAATAACTCATTCCAACAAATCGCACAGCAAAATCATCACCACCACCAGCAGCAGCAGCAGCAGTATTTCCAGAACCAGAACCAACAGCAGCAGCAGCAACAGCAGCCATCCACTTCGTCCGCGGCGGCCTCCTCGTCGTCCTCGAACTCATCGCAGCCAGACATGGCCACAATTGCATTGGAGTATCTCGATACAGTCATACATTGCCTTAACCAGGTGAGCAATATAATGTAGATGCTGATGGGAGTCAAAGGTCTGAAATCGCCAAAAGTTAACTCTTCCCTAAGGGCGAGACGTCCACCATTCTTATTTCTCATTCCACGTTCATACTTAAATGTTATATTTAATATCGAACCATTGCCATACATGTCGATCTAGCCTTGTGTTTACACAGCTGCGAATCTGAGTACCAAAATAGCGGTCCCAAACTTTTATATATATAGTAAAAGCAATAAAAGTATAAAGAGATATAATAAGAGATAAGAAAATGCAATCATCTAAGGCCTTTCCAATTTATAGTGGGATCACATGTTCTAGATTACAATCTCATTCATCATAAAATCCTTTATAAAACCTTAGGTAAAGTACTTTTAAACATTATTAAAACAGTGCTTGTTTTAGTAGACTTCTAAAATGAATTTATTTGTTAGATAGTTGTAGCGAATATTCCATACTATTTTACTTACACCCTTATCTCGTTCATAAATTTAGAATTAACCTTTACGTTATAATCAACAATAATAAATTGTTATGCTCTTCTCCCCCAGAATCCGGGCCAATTTGATACCATTGCTTCACGCTTCCTGACCATTTTCGACGGCATGGAGAACAACCAGTTTGTCCTCTCCATCGCCATGGAGGACATCTTCGAGAAGTCCATTGAGCAGCCCAACTTCCGTTACATGGGCGCCAAGCTGTACAACCTGCTGCATATGCTAAACCCGAAACCGGACTCTTTGTTCCACACGCTGCTGAAGTGCAAGCTGGACTACCACCAGGAGGAGGTGACCAAGTACATGCGCTCCAACGAACATCAGAAGGTGCGCGAGACGGCCCTCTTCCTCGCCGAACTGTATATGCAGTTGCGCGGGGAGGACGACTCCCGTCTCCAGTTGATTGCGGTGAACATTGTCTACTCGCTGAGCAAGCTTCTGCTGAGCGAGAGTAACGACAACGTGCGCTGCCTCTGCCAGACCCTCAAGCTGGCTGGCTACGATCTAACGGCCGACTGCCCGAAGGACATGCAGGAGATAATCACAGCTTTGCAAGCCATTGAGCTCAAGTCCCCGGGCAAATACGCCATGGCAGCCAGCGTGATTGCCTTGCAGCAGAACAACTGGGGTAGGAAGGTGTCCAATGCTTTGGGCGGCGACGAAGATACCGTGGCGGAGCCGCCTCGCCTCAGTGATGAGCCAGTGTTCTATGGGCCCGATGGCCGTGAACTGACCGTTGAGGAAACCGACTTCCTGGCCGCCGAGGACGATACCGGCAGCGATGGCGAGGATTTCGATGGCGATGGCGGCGAACTGGATTTGGATGCGGAGATGGACGAGGAGACAGAGCGCGCCTACAAGGAGTTCTGCAAGCAGGGCAAGCAGAAGACCTAGGCTGTGGACGACGTCGACGACTGTTGTTGTGTAGCGCTAACGGTAATGGGGGGCGTGGCAGGTGACACAGGATAGGGTAGGAGTTTCGATGTGATGAGATTAAATGAGAGAAATGAAGAAAAGTTTAGGGAAAAGAAGAGACGAGTGTGGTTGGAGTATTTCCATACAAATTCTCGGTTGTAGAATCGATGATTGCAGTTGCTTGGTTCAGAACCAGTTGTGATTATCTTTTAAATTATTGATAGCAAATTGTTTGTGATATCTTCGTGTTTCATGCACCACACACATCCATATACACATACAGCATATAATATGACATGTGTTTTTGACTATGTTCAGACGCTTTTTTGTGTGATACGCCCGTTTGTATCTGTATATCTCTAATAACTAACTTTACTCTCTGCCAAGTTCATTCATCAGCTTTGTCTTTATTATTTTATTTATTTTTTTTTTTGTGTACTTTGCCTAACATCTTCATTGATCAGTTTTTCCAAGCCAAGCGCCAGGATTTTAACTTTCTCGTTTGTAAAGCAGCAATTAAAACAGCAATAAATATAATTGTAGAACCCCACTGCCACGCCAATCCGAACCGCTTGCCCGCTTACACCCACAGACTGCAGACAAACGGACACGGAGCTGCACTCAAAGACTCGTACTCATATGCGCACCCACACACTCATAGAACGGCAGATGAATAAAAAACAAAAACCGCAAATTCACATTCAATTAACAACATTCTCTTGATCATACAAATCGAAAAACGAAAAAAAAAATAACAGCAGCCACGCCTAATTTTTAAATAATTGTAATTAATGTTAACGAAAACCATGATTTAATTATAAATAAAATTTATCGAATTGCGTTTAAAACAAGTTTCAGTTGAAAGATTTGTATTATTTGTATGCCTCTGCAGGGTATTATTTCTAATCCTTTAAATCATATTTGATCAGCATCAGCAGCCGAATCCATCTAGCCATGCATGGAAGAAAAAAATTGTTAATTTTTTTTTTAAATTTATTCCATGATTAAACTTTTTTTAAATTAAAAATCAATATGATGCTTATAGCCTAACAAAAACCAACAAAGAAGAACGTTCCTGTCCCAGGATAGTTTCCTTTCTTGTTTACGAAATAAGTATAATTTAAGTTGGGTTAATTCAAAACTACAAGGCATTAAATTTAGATTTATTCCTATCATAGTAATTAAATCATGGCTATTTTATTTTTCGCAATAATTTTATTTCCCAAAATAATACAAAAGTAGTATAAAATTAAACGTAATACTTAAAAATACCAAAGAAATTGAAGAGCCTGTGGGTATTTCTCGTTTTCCATTAACGGTCATACTACAAAATCGAGTATTCGATAACAACAACATACTTTTCGCCGATGATTTTTATTTAAGAAGTTATTTAATTTGCTCGCGCTGTAATGTGATAAAAAGCGTTCGACAAAGGCTGGCCCGCAGTGAATTTAATGCGTAAATGAACGGCGAGAAATGTCCGGGGCGCAAAGACCTTGAAACGAAATTGGAGACCAAAACAAAAGTGACGTCATGATGGTGCTATTTATGTATGTACATAAGTTTTGCTAAATATTCGCCAGTGAGAGACACAAACACACGCACGCGGCCATTAATAGACAAAAACAAAAAGCTAGCAATGGGCTGTAATGCTCGCGAGTATAAATAATTCTTGAGAGGCGAAATCAGGGAAATCAAGAAAGGCGACAAAGAAAGCAGTGACAACTAAAGGTCACCAGCCAAGCAGCGTATAAGGCAAAACAAATACCAATACAAAGGAAGAACGAATTGCGTGCGCGCGGGTGTGTTTATGTGTGTGTTTGTGTATGTGCGTGCGTATTTTTTTTATATTTTGCAGACAACAAAAATGAAAAGTGAATTTAAATCTATAAAAATCCATTTTAAATCACAACTACAATGTGTTCCAAAGAATTTTACTCTTGGTTTCGTTGAAAACACTTCAACCTGTCAATTCACTTGTAATCGCACTTGCTTTGTGCATCGCTTGCATTTTGTTTTTTTCCAACTTGTGAATGAACCTTGCAATGACCCAGAAATATGTATTTTATAAAGCATACAGCCAGGCGCGTATATACATAGTCTACCGATCAATTGCAGGCGAAGCAGAGCTGACGGCACATACAGAATGATTTAAGTCACCAAAAATTGGAGGCGAAAACAAACACAACGACAACGACTGGGACCGGAACGGGTCTAATTTTTATACAAAGCCCAACAAAAAAATAAATATACAGAAAAGCCGTAATCACAGAGCCACCTGCGACAATCATCTGCACCTGCTACCCGCTACAATGGCCAGTGTCTGGAAGAGATTGCAGCGCAACTTCAAGCGGGCGGCCAAATTCCAGTTCACCGCCTCGTACCATGATCTGCATCTGGAAACCACCGCCAAGTGGTAAGTAGAGCTGCCGGCTGCTCCAAATTAAAGTGGATTAATGCGTCAGCCCGGGAGGGAATCCGGTGAACTCGAGTGGGGTTGGGTTTAAGTGCTTTTTCAATTGGAACACGAACTAGTCTGCCAGTGACTGAAGGGGTTACATTTTTCCTTGGCTTTCTATCACTGATTAAATAAAAAGAAGACACATTTTATGAATGTTGTGGGAATATAGATAAGAGTTTCCTGAGTTATAGACTGGTAAAGTAAGCAATAATGATAAGACTGTATCTATATATATCATATTCGGTCTTCATCTGCACTGAAAGAAGAATTTACTACATATTTATTGTAAAAAATGGCGTTTATTAATTGGTTTTATCGAACGTATACCGTATGTTTCGTAATAATAATAATAGGCTAAATAGGTAGTTATCAAGGCCAAATATAACCTTTTCTTGGCATGCCTTCCCTGTGATTTATACGCTCAACTTCTGATCAAATCAATAGATTACCTAATAACTAGTTACTTAAACAAACTTGAATTATTATAGACATTTCCTGTGTATACCCGAGCAATTTTCAGGTTTCCCAAAGCAATTTACTATATATTTCATGCTTACAAACCAATCAATTTAAGAGAGGTATTCGTCAATTGAAGGGGTTGTCAGCTAGAGGCTTCAAAACTATACATATCGATTTCCCCTTTTTATATTCCATATCTAAGAGTGATAAGTTTATTTACGAGTTGACCTCTTCCTGTTGACATGAAATGTTTAACCCAGACTCTTTAGTTTAATAAGTATTTGTTATATACATAAATGTTTGCTTTTATCAACTGAAAGGCCCACATATGTATCATTGTGCCTCATCCGGTTTGTCATAAATTGTTATTCATGGTCTTTAATCTTACATTTTAATGCAATATTAATAATGCTCTTTATGAGAGTTGAAAAACCCCTTCAGACTTTAAATAATAATCACAATTGTGTGTTTTCAGGCGACCGTCGAACCTCTCGATAGTGTGGACAAGAAGATCAAGACGAGTCGCCAGCGCTCCGTTGCCATGGGAGCCGGACATGATGAATCCCTTGGTGGGCAATATATCTTGGCCCGTGCCCGACAATCATACCATATCGGTAACCCTGTTCAAGGATCCCCGCACTCACGAGCTGGAGGACAAGGACTGGACGTTTGTCATCGAAGATGTGAGTGGTCTTAGCATCCAAATCTCTGGTCATTACTAAATTAGTCTATCGTTTCATAGGTTACCCCTATGGGTAAGAAGCGTGTGTTGGCCAATGCCAGCATCAATATGAGAAAGTATGCCAGCATAGAATCCACTCAGCAGAGCTTTACATTGAGTCTAAAGCCCGTTTCGAAGAAGATTACAGCTGCCAGCTTGGAACTCACGATAAGCTGTGTATTTTTAAGGGAGGGCAAGGCAACGTGAGTGTATTCAGTATGATAAAATTACTTAAAATATGTCATATGAATGTGTAAAATATTTCCAGAGATGAGGACATGCAGAGCGTTGTCTCCATGATGTCCGTAAATAACAACTGTGATGTGGCGCCCTTGGATGACTTGGAGGATATCCCCGACTTGGAGAATTTTAGTGAAATTACAGACAATTTTTATGACTTTACCCAGCAATTGGACCAGATGACAACGAGCCTCAATGGTTGCATGATGTGGCAACCCCCCTAAGCGGTAAGACAGCTCCTTGTTCATATATTAACCCAATGTTTTATGTACTAAATTCGATGTATTTGTATCTGTAGTATGTAAAAATGGTATAGAGCGTATATATTAGGTATATCAAGTGCTTGAATAACTACAAGGGACTTGTAACCTTACACACAATCCCTTCTGGTCATGAAAAGCCCTCTGGTTAAGTATGTTGAATCCCCAGTAAATGTTTCTATTGGAGATCCCAAAAAGCAGCATCTCTTGGATGCTATAAACTTGATCTGCATGATCTATTAGATTAGATATATATCTACAGACAGAGATTTCTCTTTGGACTCAAAAACAATATATTGTTTCTTTCTATCTATGTATGTATATCCCATCAACATCACGTATCTTGATTGATTTCCTGCAACTTGTAACTTGTGCGTAAACTGTAAAATTGTACATTTTCTTTTTTTTGATTTTCGGTTTATTTGTTCGTTATGTAGTACCTTCGTTATCTGAAGACCCCACTCCCTTGGCCGAGTCCTTTAATCAATTGCATTTTGAATTAGACGGCGATGGCGAACGGGAAGCCACAAACAAGTTAGACTTGCCCAGCACGGCTGCAGCAACCGGTGGCTCTAGCGGGGCCAGTGGTAGCGCTGACGAGTCTCTGAAAACTCCCAACGGAGTACAGGCTGTGGATAGCACGCCCATCAAGTCGCCGGTCGAGGCAAAGCAGCAGAAACAGACCCCGGGCGAGGTCTTGGGTTCGAAAACAAACGACTCTTTTGCCAAGCTGCTGACCTCAACGCCGCTGGAACCCAAAGTAAGCAAGGATGAACCGAAGCAGATGAAGAAGAGGGCTTTGTACTTCACCGAAAAGGAGGATAAGAACGATTTCAAAGACGAAACTCGCAAGGAGGAGGCTATCAAGAGTCTCGGGAACAACAGTACCGCTGCAAAGGATGATTCTACGGAGAAGAGCAAGACCCCGACTGTGGCGACTCCCAATGTGAAGCGGCCTGAGCTGCAGCCTTTGAACTTAAAGAAGAGCTACGAACCCTCGCCAACTCCTGCAACTGCACCGGCACCCGCTCCCTTGATAAACGATTCGATGGCATCACAGACAGGAGCTAATGCCTCTATCGTTTCGAACAACAGCCTGAAGCCGGTGGAGAAGATTGTGCTGAAGGAGAACACGCCCGGCCAGGATCTGCTGGAATGGTGCAAGGAAGTAACCAAAGACTATCCCAATGTTAAGGTCACCAATCTGACTACTAGTTGGCGCAACGGCATGGCCTTCTGCGCGATAATTCACCACTTTGTGCCGGAGCTAATGTGAGTGGGTCCAATCTGATGTATGACGTTTCCTAATTACTCTCTCCATTCGCAGTGACATGTCCAAGTTGAGTGCCCACGAGGTGGTTGGCAACTGTCGGATAGCCTTCGATGCGGCAGAATCCCTTGGTATTCCTCGTGTGATCGAGCCTCGGGACATGAATCTGCTGACAGTGCCCGATAAGTTGGCCGTAATGACCTATTTGCATCAGCTGAGGGCGCATTTCACAGGCAAACAGTTGCAAATTGAACAAATAGGTATGCAAAACAAAAGAATGTATATTTTTCACAAACGCTAATTACTTGTTTGCCCTTAGGCTCCACGGCTGACGAGTCCAGCTATGTGATCGGCAACTACAAGTCAGATAACTTGTCGCAGAGCCGCTTGAACTTCTCGCACCTGAAGACACAGCTACTGCATCAGAATTCTTTTGACGATGAGATTAACGGGCTGAACAAATCGGAGCAGTTGTCGCCGACCAGCAAGAAAGATGTTAAGAATCTGATTCTGTACAATTCGAAGAACATTTTGGATAAGGTGCTGTCGCCCGCCAAGGATAAGAATTCGATCAATGCCTCGCAGCATGCCAACCAGTCGTCTGTGCAAACGCCACCGCCACAGGAGGAGTCCGTGGATGATGTCCCATCAATGGGTGGCAAGGAGAACAGCTCTCTATCCGTCCTAGATGCCCAGGCGGCCAGTGTGAGTAAAAGCCAGGCTCAAACTAACCTCGCTACGTTAAAGTTTTCAATTGAGTTGCTGCTTTAGCATTTGCTTTAGCTTACACATATATTTGAATCAGCAGTTGTTTTCCTTGAAGCTCTCTTCAGTTGTTTGTATATATTTTGGTTTCCTTCGTTTTTTGCTTTACCTTTTGGTTTGTTTTGTAGCGAATTGTAACGCGCCACAAGCTGATGAGCGAAAAGGCCAAGCTGCTGAGGGAAAAGCTAAAGCTTTGCAATAATCCCAGCGATGCGAACGAAGTAAGTAGCTTGATGTCGGCCGGAGTCGCAGTTTGCCGGACGCAGTGCAGCTTGACTTGTGCATGTCATTGTTTTTTTATTTGATTTATTGTTTCTTATTGTTGCTTAAGTATACAAATAATATCAGCAAAACCTTTTATTAAGTCTAATAAATTGCTCACCAACACCAACAATTTAAAGTAATTGAAACTTATAAGAAATAGCAAACTCTTTTAGAACAACCTTAAGTCTCAAATTTATTGTTTAGTTCCACATTTACGGGGACTTTAGTTTCTATATGTTGGTATTATTTACTTTATCCATCTTTTTTAAACGATCCCTGCCATTGTCTGGCAGTTTCCACACTCTCCATTGTACTTTTCATTTGTATACTTTTGTAATATAAATGTTTAATATATACATGTTTCCAACTATGAAGCCATTCAGTTATAACGTTCCTTTCTGCTTCGCAGGAGGAGAGGCAGCAGCGGCTGCGGGAACAGGCCCGTCGCTTGATCTTGGAGACGCGTGTAAAGAGCGGCGGCGGCTCGATTGAAAGTCCTACCAGCCCCACCAAGCCCAAACGGTTTAATTTCTCTCCGGAGCGCACCATTTCCCCTATCCACAATGGAGCTGATGAGTTCTTTGCGGATCACGGCAAAAAGCTGGAAGTCAAGGAACAACCCGGAAGTCCTAGTCATAGGTTAAGTGATCCCAAGGGACTCGGCGTCAAGGGCAGTCCTCTGCAGTCCTTCAACGCGATCGTGGACCGCATCTCACCAAAGAACGAAAAGAGGGTGAGCTAGCATACATTCGGTCTCTCCTTGGTAAATACTTAATATTTGAATTTTATGGCAGGGCGACAAACTGTCCTACATCGAGTCGGAGCTGGAGGCCCTGGAGCGGGAGCAAGAAGCAATTGACCAGAAGGCAAGCAGTCTGGAGGCCAAGCTGCGCGCCGTGATGGGCGGCAATCCAAGTAATAATCGTCGCAGTAGAGGCGGTGGCAATCCGTTCCTTAGGCTAATCAGAAATAGTATTGGTGGTGGTGATGTGATACGAATTAAGCTGCTTGACTCGGACGACGAGAGTCTGTTCGGTGGTGGTGGTGAAGGTGCTGGTAGTGGTGGCGGTGGCAGTGGAGCTTGCAGCGAGGACGAAGATGACGAGGCCACGTCCAGCGACAGTGTCTGCAACTCTGGTGATGAAGTGCACATTGCGCGACTGCGCCCACGCCACCGCCAGCGTCCCCGACCCCGCTCCCAGTCGTGTTTTGTGAATGTGAACAACAAGGGCCATCCATCGAACATGACCACACCCATCGCTCATCTGCGCCCGCATCATGTGCATCATGTTGTGCCCTATACCCACATGCTAGATAGTTCCCCGTCGGCGGTTTCCTCGCAGCAGTCCTCCTGTGATAACCTCTACGTGTGCAGCGACGATGACGATGTCCTGGCATTGGCGGCCACCGGTCAAGCGGCCTCCCAGCGGCGGCAGCAGGATCGCCACCGGCGGCGCCGTCACCAGCAGGATCGGCGGCGCTCCTCCCGTTTATGTCACAGTCCAGGTGCTCATGGTGGTAAAATGCGGCCCATCCCCTCATGCTTGATTCATTGAGCTACTCTACCCAATCGCTTTTGCCGAGCACTGCCACGCCTCACCGTTTGAGGCTGCTAAATCAACAGACCGCGCGCCCGCCCGCCTGCCTGCCTGCCTGTCCGCCCGCTCAACCGCATCCACTCGCTCTCATTCCTCGTGTCGTTTGTTTGTTCTATTTAATGTCTGTGTTTGCTTGTTAATATCTTGGCCGTTGGCAGCCGTTCCAAATTCTGTGTGTGTCTAACTATGTTCCTGGACTTGGTTCTAACTCTCCCAGACTAATGCTCACTAATCGCACAGAGTCCACACTGTGCGGCAGCTTTAGAAACCGCCAAAGGACGCAGCCTTCGTAGACTATAAGCTAAACACTCTTTAATTTAAGCTTAGTATTTCACAAAACCAAACAGAATCCCCATCCCTGCCATATAATATTAACATACGATAAATAAACCCATTCACAGAGACCGAGGAAACGGAGGAGCAACTCCTATCGCAGTGGTTCACGCTGGTCAACAAGAAGAACGCACTCCTCCGCCGACAAATGCAACTGAACATTCTGTAAGTTGACTTTCTCCTTAGCTTTACCATGACCATGTTGTTTTAATCGGCTTCTTGTTTTCGCAGCGAGCAAGAGAAAGACCTAGAGCGAAAGCATACGATGCTGAATCAGGAGCTACGGGCGGCGCAATCCGTGGAGGACTGGCGCAAGACGGAGGTGCAGCGTGAGAAGGAACGACTGCTGCTTGAGGAGCTAATGACGATTGTCGACAAGCGGGACCAGTTGGTACAGCATCTGCACAACCAGGAGATAGCGTAAGAGTTTGCTAGTAACGATATTTTCTGTCATCCCAATCCTAACTCACTGGACCTTGCGTTGATATTACTTTCAGGATCGAGGACGATCATGAGATAGCAAGGGAACTGGAGCAGGTCGACATTAGCGGCGGCAAAGACAAATGTGTTCTTCAATAGAAATCGAAATTAACCAAAACCTGACTGGAGATTATACTTACAAACACACACTCACTTATCTATGTAACTAGTTAGATAACAACTATGTATGTTCGTGGTCGCGTGGTTTTTGTGGTTCAGTGTCGCTTATGCAATCGTTATATCCAACGGCAACACAATACTTGGACCACTCTCGGTATGGTTTAAAAGAAAAAACAACAAAGAACACTGTGAAAGAAAAGGTAAAATTGCTTTTGTATTTAAGCAAAGAAAAAATTCAAAAAACAAATAATAAGAACAAAACGTCCGTTAGTGAATTAAGTAAAAAGACAACAACAGACAACACTTCAAAAGGGACAATTTTTCACATATTTATGGTAACCATCAGATATTGCAAATTATTTCTAGTTAATTTTGTGTAAATTCAGTTCGTTTTTGTTTTGTATTTTTGTGCCATGTCGAAAATAAATCCTGAACCCAACATCTGACAGAATTGAGGAGGCAATTTTATGATAGTTTGTACTTTTAGCATTTATCCCAAACACACACACCAACACACAGTACTAGAAAACGCTTCATCCAAAAATACACATACTCTATATACATATATTTATGATCCTACCTTTTTGTGCAAAAAAGAACCTATCTTACTATTCATAATTTAGATCCTTATGTACGATGTTTGCTCTAAGTTAAGGCAAAGCGCTTTAATCATATAATTTAAAGGTGGCTTATATACTTATACAAATAAAACAAATTTTAATTTACTTTTGCCCCCGGCGAATGTATAAAGAACTGTTCAAAACCCAAGAGAGAAACCCTAGCTAATAAAGCAAAGACAATGCTGATCAAAATCGAAAGCGTTGAATGAATAAACCCAACAATAATTGTGAATAAACTTCTTATCTGTTGTTTTATATTTGTGGGGTTGTTCTAGGAATTCAATTTAATCATCATGAAAGTTTAGAGCTCGTAAATAATAAACATGTTCCTTTGATCTCTTGTTTAATTTGTTTGCTTTTTCGTTGAATGTCCATAAATGAGACCTGTTTTGGGTAACCCCTTTATCGTGAATAACAATGAGTCACACTTGGATTCGAGAGTCTAATCATTTATTTATTCGATCAACAGGTCTATTTTTAAATCTCAAAAAATACGTTTGCCTAATACAATAATGATAAACAACTTTTAAAGAATCTCTTCTTAATTGACAAAGGGTATATATAATCATATATATTTATAGGTACTTTGAGGCTACTGTATGATATACTTGGATCACTTGAGAATTGCTTTATACGATTGCTTAATTAGCTGAGATTCCATCACATTGTACTTGATATTATTTACGAGTCACCTTACTCCTTCGGCCAGGACGTTTCTTATAGTTACTCTACATGCATTGGAATAGAATTCAATTCAATTACTATTTTACAATTAAGTGACATCACGAGGGCGGCTCTACCACTGCTCTAGCTCTGCGTTATAAAACAAAAGAAGCGAAATCAAAGTTGAAAATACGGCACTACAAGCACAATAAAAGCAAATGTTAAACTAACACTGGGAGCAGCGGTGGCCGGGGAAGCGGCTCCATGGGTCATATCGTGCAGCTCCTCGTCGGTGTAGGTCTGATTGACCGTCTCAACCTTGTAGCTGAACGTCGCCGATACTGGTCGGTGGTCAGAAAGCGTGTAGTCCGAATGGGACTGATAAGAAAGCTGGGTGGCGCTCAGGGTAACGCCCGGATAAACGTTGTTCTGCACGCGATGCAGAATCCTATCGCACCAGGCCGGTCGTCGCTTCAAGTCGTAATCATTAGTGCCCTCGACAAACTGCAATTAATGATATTTATGAGTACTTTAGACTAGGGGAACCGAGTTCCCATTATTTCTTTAGATAAAACCTTAAATGTGGGCGCAAAGTTGGGCTGCTGCTCCTCTAGCAGGCTGAAGGCGTTGCCCTTCTCCCTTAGCAGGTTCAGCTGGTCCAGCTTGAGCAGGTCTGCGTACCGCATATTCTCCACATCTGTTCGAACATCCCAGGCCGACATGTCGCCAGAGAGCCGGAAATTGAGATCGCCAAACCAGAAGACAAAGTCGTGATCAAAGATCCGGGGATACCCCTGGGCGTGGTACTTGTGATTATCCACTATCTGGTGATAGTCCTCGATGCGCTCCTTTAGCTTGTCATCGTGGGCCGCCAAATGGGAGCAGACAAAGACAGCTCCTGTGCCGTAAAGCGACAACCGGATGCTGACTGCTCCCTTGTTGCCCCATAAGCCGCCCAGTCCCGTGCGCGTGGCCTCAGTCTCGATGTTCTTCATGTGCGGAACGTGCTTGTGCTGGGCAAACATCGTAATGAGAATGCCCTGTAGCTGCTTGGCCTCCACCTTGACGAACTGGTGTTCCTGGAGGGCTCCAGCGATCTTAAGCACCCACGGATCGTCCTGAAAAATGTTTAGCACCTGCTTGGTGCTAACCTCTTGCATGCCAATCACGTAGATGTCGGGCAGCTGGTTGCCCGGACAGGTAGTCGTTCCATTCAGCGCCAGTAGAGAGCTCAGCTGCTGATCACGGGGAGAGTGGGTACCCACATTCCAGGTCAGCAGGAAGATGCACAAATCTGCGATCACAGCCGTTGTAGCCATTTTCGCAATGGCTAATTATCTATGATTAATGCTCCGGATCACAAGGCACGACAAAAAAGATGAGTTCACGGGCATCCAAAACAGGTTTTCGACCTGACAGCATCCAATGGCAACGGAGAAGGGCCTTTCACACACTACTTTCATTTATGTAAACAGCGGATGTGACAGCATTAGTCTAATTAATTGGATTAAAACTGGTGGTTTGCCGTAATTATTTTTAGAATTGTCAGCCGTTCGTTATTTCTGTTTTTGTTACGTTCGTTTTGTTGTTCTTCTTTCCGTTGCGTCCCCAGTGTGCCTGTGGCGCGACCTTTAAATATTACCCATAAGTGTGACCATAGAGTAGAGAAAAAGTATATTTAAAAAATTAAGGGTATTCAGAAGTCTTAATTTATAATATTTAATAAACAATTGCAATTTCCTTCTATTTGCAATTTATGTTTTTATTTAACTTATTTTATAAAAAATGTATCAAATAAAAAATTGGAAAATTAATAATATTTAGCAAAGTTACAAACCCTGCGGCATGACAGTGCCACCCCTGGTTAATTTTTAGCTGTGTACACACTGGAACTAAGATTTGCATTAAAATAAACAAATTTAGTTTTAATATTTTCTAGGCGCCGTTTAAGCGCAATTTAAGGCATGGCGAACAGCTACGACATACCCAGTTGGTAGGTTTACCAGAACGCAAAATTTTTCGAGTACACACTCAGCAATGTTTGCTCTTTTTTAGGGCCGGCAAACCGCCTACTGGTCTGCATTTGGATGTGCTGAAGGATGAGAAACTAGTCCAGAAACTGATGGTGGATGAGAAAAGATGCTATCTTTTTGGACGGAACAGCCAGATGAACGACTTCTGCATAGACCACGCCTCCTGCTCCCGCGTCCATGCGGCCTTCGTTTACCACAAGCACCTAAATATAGCCTACCTCGTAGATCTTGGATCCAGTATGCAGTGGCCACAGGAGTTAAATCTTAAATGATAAACCACATTGTTTTTTCCAGCTCATGGGACCTTCATTGGCACGTTGCGACTTGAAGCTCACAAACCCACACAGCTGCAAATAAACAGCACCTTCCACTTTGGAGCCTCCACCAGGAACTATATACTCAGGGAGCGGCCCTCAGGGCACCATAGCAACATTATGGAGGACCTACCTCTTAGCGAGACCAGCGACGGCGCTCTATTGGGCCTGCCCGAAAGTCAAACCGAACTGGATGTAAGTTGAATTTGTCAGTGGAACATTACTAGTAAAATAGTAGCTTTTTCAACTAACAACAAACTCAATCACCTTAGAATCTTACGGAGTACAATACGGCTCACAACCGGCGCATCTCAATGCTGGGAATTGACGACGACACCAATATGCGTAAGCAAAACGCCCTCAAACAGGGTCGTCGCAGCCGAAATGTCACATTCAACGACGAGGAAATCATTATAAATCCGGAGGATGTGGATCCCAATGTGGGACGTTTCAGGAATCTTGTGCAGACGACTGTGGTGCCGGCCAAACGCGCTCGCTTCGATGTCAACCACATGGGTATCCACTCGGGCAGCAGCCTGGCGAATGCCAACGCCGCTCACGTGCACCAGTTGTTCCAGCAGAGTCTGGCGGATATGAAGCACCAGCAACACAGAGAAATGCCCCCACCCCATGCGGTTCCTCACTCGCCTACCAATTCGCTATATCAAGGCATACCGGCTGAGGCGCATGGAAAGGGTGAACTGGAGCCCATTTCACCGTTGAGCATTGGCTCCAAGTTGGGTCTGTTGCTGCCAAATCCTGCGCCCGAGGTGCTCCCTGTCTTCGAAGAGGCTCTGGAGCCGACCTCCTCGTTGGCCCAGAAGTTGGCGGTGGCCAATGCAAATGGTAAGACGCTTAAGAATGAAATTCTTGCTGTGATTTAGCTAATATCTTGTTCTTTTCAGTGAGGCGCTATGTGGAGGATCCGCACGACTCCAGTGGCGAAGGCGATGCCTTGTGTCCACAGAAAAAGAAATACGCCAAGGAGGCTTGGCCCGGCCGAAAGCCCATGCTCGGTCAGCTGTAAAGGTTTCTCATTTAGTTTGGCCATAGTTCGTAGAAAAGAAAAAAATATCTAAAATCCTACTTCAGATTTCATAAAAATAGACAAGACTAGGCATCCTCTTGAGTAGTGGTCGGCGAAGTCCCATATAAGACTTATACAAGCACTGTATAAGTTTCACTGCTCTAAAGAAACACACATTTTATTACAAATTTATTATTTTTGTAATAACAAAAGCGATTATTTTGAAACCTTTAACAACTTACATCTTGCAGCTGTGCGGATATCTCGGAAAGGGTATAACGTCTCGGATGTTCTTAATCCCAGTTACCAGCTGCAGATAACGCTCGAAGCCCAGGCCAAAGCCTCCGGTGGGAATTCCTCCGTACTTTCGCAGGTCCACATACCAGGATAGGTTCTTTGGCAGCTGTGGATGCGATCTCAACATCTCGGCATCACTTTCGCGTAGGCTTCCGCCACAAAGTTCGCCAACTGACGGCATTAGGAGATCCAAGGCGTGCACTAAATTGGGATTCGAACGGGAGACTTTCATATAAAAGGGCTTCTGCTGCTTGGGCCAATCCACGACGAAAACGGGAGCAGCACAGTGCGAGACGAGAAATAGTTCTTGGTCCTTGGAGAACCCATCAGTCAGGCTAATGGGGGTCTTTAGGCTATCTTTATTGTCCTGCAGGACTTTAAGGGCTTCGTCATAGCTCATTATTATCCATGGAACTTGCAGCCAAGCGAGATCGGCGGGAGAGTCGGCATTGCGCTGACAGAAATTGAGATCCTCTGAGCTTGTCTCCAGTAATCTATTCGTTATCGACTTAATCATCTGTTCAATGAACAGCGACAGTTTTTCTAACTCCTCCATATGGGCTAGCTCCGCTTCAAACATATAGAATTCGGCTAAATGCAATGGAGATTTGGAGTTCTCCGCTCGAAAGGCAGGTGCAAAGGTGTATGTGTTTCCCAGGCCATACGACATGGCCTCCAGGTGCAGCTGACCAGAGACGCTAAGGAAGACCTTGTCATCGAAGTAACTCTGCTCCGTCGGCACATTTGGCCTTTCCATCTGCTTGAGCAGAGCTGCAGAGTCGGGCTGAACACGGAAAACCTCGCCCGCTCCTTCGCAATCGTTGGTGGTCAGCAGCGGGGTGTTGATCTGCACGAATTCCAATTCATCCATGTAGTCATGGATGGCTTTCTGGGCCTTGTGCCTGACCCTCAACTGGGCGGCGATGTAACCGACGCGAGATCGAAGATGTAGGTGCTCGCGGACGTACTCCGGAGGATGCTTCTGTTTGGGGCTGAAGGGATAGCCCTCCTGCAGGTGTCCGTCGGCTGAGGACCATAATCATTTACAGACTTGTTTTTCTTCACAAACTTCATTCATAGTTACCCAACAGTTCCACACGATCGGCGTGCAACTCGAAGCTTCCATTTGGAGCCACTTGAATTTGACCAGCCGCCGAGATGACGCTGCCCGGTGCCAGATGCTGGTTCTCTGGAGTTCGCGGCACCACCACCTGGAACCTGCTGCTTGTGGATCCATCGCTTATATCCAGAAATGTGTTGTTCTTCAGCCGGCGCACGTTCTGGATCCATCCCTTGAGTGATAACAATTCCCATCCATTTAGAAAACCAATCGGAATCTATTGAGTTGTGGCGCCTACCTGCAAGCTTAAAGAGTCACCTGGCTTGTGGGACTTTGCAATGTGGGCAATACGCTGAGAACTACTGTAAAATCTCCTTAAAAGTAACATTTTTATTTTGAACTTAAATAATTAGTATGACCCTTTTTAAAAACATTGATATCGATAGAACGATTTATTTTTGATATGGCGCAATACCGATAGTCAGCAGCAAAAGTAACATCTCTAGCATCCGTCATAGTAAAATTTTCATTTTATTAGTTTTAATGAAATAACGCAGAAATATGCCTGAGTTTGACGCAGAAACGGTGCTGTTTAGCATTTTGGCTTTGGTCGTAATCGAGAATGCGCTGGAGATCTACATATCGCTGCGTCAGGTGGGTTTTGACAACTGTCTGCGTCGTGTGCCGGCAATGTAGGAGCGGGACGGAGATACCTAAGTGGCGAGCACTTTTTATCAGAGCGAAATGATAAATTTAGAGTTCGTAAAAGTCAATTGGCATTTAATTTAATAGTATTCATGTTCCCCCTCTTTCTACTCTCCCTCTCTGCCGCCAGGTGAAAGTCTATCGCACTGCACTGAAGGTGCCGGCGGAGCTGACGTCACACATGGGCGAGGAGACGTTCCACAAGGCTCGCAAATATGGTTTGGATCAGGAGAACTTTGGGATCTTCAAGGCGGCGGTCATGGACGTGGGCCTGTTTTGCATGGAACTGTACATTGGACTGATTGCCTTGATCTGGCAGCTGTCGGTGGAGGTGGTGGAGCATTTAAATTGGGATTCCAGCAACGAGATCATTGTAAGCTGCGTTTTCGTACTGATCTCGAACGTGTTGAGCACGTTTAAGGGGCTTCCGTTCAAGATCTACAAGACCTTTGTACTGGAGGAGACACACGGCTTCAACAAGCAGACGGCGCGCTTTTTTGCATGGGATCAGCTGAAGGGCTTCCTTGTCACCCAGGTACTGATGATTCCCATCACGGCTGCCATCATTTTTATTGTACAGCGCGGTGGCGACAACTTCTTCATCTGGCTGTGGATCTTCACCGGCATCATTTCGCTTGTCCTTCTCACTGTGTATCCGATTTTCATTGCTCCCCTGTTTGACAAGTATACGCCGCTGGAGAAGGGCCCCTTGAGGCAGTCTATTGAAGATCTGGCCGCCTCGCTCAAGTTCCCGCTCACGAAGCTCTTTGTGGTGGAGGGATCGAAACGCTCATCGCACAGCAACGCCTACTTCTACGGACTGTGGAACTCCAAGAGGATCGTGCTCTTCGACACTCTGCTACTCAACAAGGGCAAAGCTGATGACTCTGAGCTCTCCGATGATGAGAAGGGCAAGGGCTGCACGGACGAGGAGGTTCTGGCTGTTTTGGGACACGAACTGGGCCACTGGAAACTTGGTCATGTGACCAAAAACATCATTATCATGCAGATCCACTTGTTCCTGATGTTCCTTGTCTTCGGGAATGTCTTCAAGTATCCACCGTTTTACGTGGCGGTGGGATTCGCTCCCGGTACTCGGCCCATTTTGGTGGGCTTGCTGGTTGTTTTCACCTACGTTCTTGCCCCCTACAATGCAATCATGAGCTTTGCCCTGACGATCTTGTCCCGTCGGTTCGAATATCAGGCCGATGAGTTTGCCTTCAAGCTGGGCTTCGCAGAGCAGCTGGGCCAGGCACTCATCAAGCTGAACGTGGACAACTTGGGCTTTCCCGTCTATGACTGGCTGTATTCCACCTGGAACCACTCGCATCCCACTCTGCTGCAGCGGCTGAATCGTCTGAAAGAGCTTGACGAAAGCAAGAAATTGAATTAGGAACGCTTACATCACCATCGAGACCAAAGTTTACAATGTTCCCTTTTATTTTACTTAAAAAATAAAGTCGGGGGACTTAACTCTCAATAAAAACAAAATATTTTAATGTCTGTCCAGTCTTTCGAGAGTATAAGTGTCTAACAATGGCTTCGACATCAACATTCGGTTGCCAACTCGGATTTAGTTTAAGGAAATCAATGTTTTCAAAACATATTAACAGGTAGTTAGGAATCCATCAATCAGAATCTTGTTAGGTTCTGGTTGTCTTTCTAAATTATCAAAAAAGTATGTATTTGTGTTAAGCGATAGGCAGAGGAACCGAAAATGTCTGCATATTTCTGGGATGATCCCTTAATATTGCTCTATCTTCTCATAGCTGTCCTGGTGCTGGACAATTTCTGGGCCGTATATCTGTTGCTGCGCGAGGTAAGCCGATCCGCATGCCAGCTCTCTTACCATCTCTCCCTCTTTTTGTCGCAGATTCATGTAGCCTACAAAGTGGATGAAGTTCCAGACGTAATCCAACCGTTCCTGCCGCAGGAGCTTTATGACAGGATGCGTGTCTATAAGATCCACAAGGCCTGGCTCACGATTGTCAACGCACTGGTTGCTGTGGTCCTGTTGGGTGTGATTGAGCTTTACTTTGGGTTCTACGCATGGCTGTGGGGGCTGGCTGCAAAGTGTGCCCTGGGCGAATGGATGAAGCACGAGGCCTGCGTTTCCGTGATCTTTGTAGTCATGCTGAGTTTTTACCTCTGGCTAAAGAGCCTTCCGGCCATGTTATACGAGAAGATGTGTATTAGAAAATTGCAGCAGAGGGCAAAACCACCGTTCCTCATAAGAGTCTGCCAATTCATATTCGAACTGATCCTGGGACTGATTGTCACCATTATAATGGTGGTGGTGCTGGTCTTCACGTTTATCGGTCTGGGTCCTATCGCCCCGTTGGCTCTGTATATCCAAATGGTAGTCATTACAGTCGCGTTAATTCTCCTGATACCGATTTTCATCGACCCATTCATGGGCAGGCGTGTGCCCCTGGAAAGTGGAGCCCTGCGATCGGCACTGGAGGGGCTAACAAGTCGGGCCGGCTTTCCTATGCGCCAGGTTCACATCATCCGTGTTCATGATCCGAATGCCGGTAGCAATGCCTTCTTCTACGGCAGCTGTTGCCTCAAGAGGATCGTTATCTTCGATACCCTTTTACTGAACAAAGGTCAAAGAGATATATCCAATCTGGAGCCTCTGGATGTAGGCAAGGGGCTGACGGACGCCCAGGTTACAGCTGTGGTGGCTCATGAACTAGGACATTGGAAGAACGGTCACTTTTATAAGGCCCTTATAACGTTCCAGGTGCACTTGGCAGTCACCATATTCTTGTTCGCCCTTCTCTTTCCTCACGGACCCATTTACCAGGCGGTGGGATTCGAACCCGGCCTGCAGCCCGTCATCGTGGGATTCCTAATCATCTTCGGTTTCGTGCTGACGCCCTACATGACTCTGATCAATTTCGGTATGTTGAGCATGACCCGCGGCTTTGAGTACCAAGCGGATAAGTATGCCTTCCGGATGGGATATGGCGCGGATTTGCGTCTGGCGCTGCTCAAGCTTTATGCGGATAACCTGGCATTCCCCGTATCGGACCACTGTTACTCCCAGTGGCATCACACCCATCCCACCATGCTGGAGCGACTGGATCGGCTGAGTAGTCTCCGAAGTTAGTGAATTGTTTGGTTCCCTTCTCTCCCTTTTCGAACATGGTAGGCTCTGACCGAAAAGTATCTGTATCGCCTATAAAAGATATGAATATTTTTGAATACTACTGACTGCTCGTCTTGTTTGAGGGGGAACATGCTCAGTTTTGATGGCATTCTACGACACTTGGCCGAAGGTAAACCCTGTGATAATACTTATCATCCTGTGTCTGATCGTGGTGGTTGACCGCGTCTGGGAGATGATTATTACCAAGAGACAGGTAAGCTGTATGGACGCTCTCAATGGACTGATCGTTGGAATCCATCTCTCTCTCTCTGATTGCAGCAACTGGTGTGCATGAATTCGTCATGGTGCCGGAGAGCTGCGGGGCATCATTCCCCCGGAGATATATTACCGGGCCCGCATCTACGAGCTGCACAAAACGGAGCTGCTGATCTGGAAGCACTTTATTGATTTGATCATACACTCCTCGAGCTGTGCCTGGGTTTCTATCCATTCCTCTGGGGCCTGGCCGCCATGACGCTGAAACCAATCACAGCCTTGGAGATCTGGGTGAGCCTGCTCTTCGTCTTCTACCTGACCATCTACATCTGCCTGCGGTTCCTGCCGGTGCTCATCTACGACAAGTGTCTTCTAGAACTTCGCTATGGCCTAGCGGGCAGATTTCCATGGTACCTATATATATTAGTGGGTATTCTGGCCATTGTCCTAAGCCAGCTCATTCTCCTCCTGTGACGGCGGCCATTGTGTTTGGCGTCAAGTTAATTGGATACTTTTTCTTCCTGTGGTTCTGGCTCTTCTGGGCAGTGTTCACCCTGCTGCTGGTCTTCTTTCTTCCCTACTGCTGTATTCCGTGCATTGGGAGACAAGTGGTCCTGCCGGGGGGCACACCACTTTACGAGGAGGTGAAGCGCGTTTGCGATTGGGTTGGTTTCCCCATGAAACGGGTGTTCATCATCAGGACCAGGTCCATGCAGTACAGCAATGCCTACTTCTACGGGAGCTGCTGTCTAAAGAGAATCGTGATCTTTGACACCCTTCTGCTGAACAAAGGAAAGGACCCAAGTGAATTGGCACCCTATGAGGTTGGTCGAGGGCTGACCAACACCCAGGTGGCAGGCGTGGTGTGCCACGAGCTGGGTCACTGGAAGCACGGCCACTTCTACAAGGCCACGATCATCATGAAGGTGCATTTCCTTATTACCATGATCCTCTTCGGGTTGTTCTTCCATTGCCCCCAGTTGTACATGGCGGTGGGCTTTAAGCCCGGACTCTGTCCCATAATAGTGGGCTTCATCATTGTCCTGAGATTCGCCCTCACTCCGTATCTCACCCTGGCCAATGTCCTGATGCTGTGGAATCTACGGCGCTTTGAGTACGCTGCCGATCGCTTTGCCCACCGCATGGGTTACTCCATACAGCTTAGGATGGCTCTTGTCAAGATCTATGCGGATCACATGAGCTTCCCGATGTACGACAGATGCTATGCCATGTGGCATCACACTCACCCCACGATACTACAGAGATTGGCCTATCAGGAGAGGCTGGATGTGAAGGCCATCCGGGACCTGCAGAGGGCCCCATAACACCCTGGAGTCACACTACACACTCAGTAGTCCCGAGAGTTTCGTCGCTATTTGATTTTTGTCACTGTTTTTGTCAGTTTCTCGATCATTTCTATCAAATTGCCCGTATGTCTAGCACGAAAATTGTCACGACCTGCTGCAGGTCTATTACCAAATTGGTGGTCAGCATCGGCAGCGGGTGAGTAGAGGATGTCCCAGAGCTTTGAAGCGTTTTTTATGCGATCCCTCTTTTATACTCCGTCTCGGTAAAGCTTTGACGTCAATAAAATTGTAATTGTCGCTCAGAAAATATGTAGATTTTATTATTGTAAAAATGATCCAAATTAAATTGAAATTGAAAATCCCTCAGCGAGACCCATATTACCTATGAAGATAACACCGCTCGCTCTTTCTGCACGAACCCCTCCTGGTTTCCATTCGTGGTGGACTGATGAATCTCAGCCTGATAAGTGAACCATCAGAAAAAGATTATTTCAAGCAGGCGACAGCCTTCTTGAAGAGACATTTCGGAAGAAAGCCAACTGTTAGGGCCTCCCAGGCCAGCCAGCAGCGCCTTGAGTCGTTGCAGTTGAATGCCTTGGAGGTCAACAGTGAAGGCAATTTAGTGGAGGACGAAGAGCAGCGAGATATCTGGCATAGCTGGGGCTTAGAAGAAGTGAAACTACCGCCCAGTCAATATGCGGAGATCATAGAGTGGATAGCTCCCAAAACAGAATCCCTAAGGATATCCAATCGTTCGTGGCACTTGGAAAACTGCATTGCCTGGCGTTAATTGTTAGCCACAAAAATGAATTGGCCGAGTGGTGAGTGGATGCTGCCACTATTCCCTTTCAGTTATATAATTCCAAATATGTATCCCTTTAAGCTACTGTCAGCGCATCAAACAATTCATGGACAAGGTCAACACTCTCGTCGACCTAGAAATGGAACTGGATGAACCCTCGGTGGACTTCTCGTCTCTGTCTCCTAGGTTGACCGAGAATGTGTTGTCTGCCAGCGAATTGCTGAAGGAATTGAACGATCTCCTGGACCTTCAAGACAAAGTAACCGCTATACGAATGCCAGTTGGAGTACGAAAATTGAAACACTTCTCGCTATAGGAGTGCTGACCCCTTAATGTTTGCATAGATTGTATTTATTTATTATTAAAACATTTCTGTTGTATTCTCATAGTATTTAGACATGTATCCATATAGATAGATATTCGATATTTGTTTGTATATAGAGAAAGTCCGTTTCGAAGCTTTACATGCATGTGGTTTCTGAACAATATCTTAGGATTAGCATAAGTACCATATAGAGTTGTATCGTAATTAGTTAATGTATAAGTTAAGTTGGCATTTTGTTGCATATCCGGGTAACTAGCCGGGTTTCATTTTTAAAACTGTTTGAAATATGTATTTCTCCAATTTAGTATTAGTCAAAGCCATAGGACGAGTTGTGCCATTCGGATCTGCTTAACCTATTTCATATTGAAATTTTAAAATGAACCCCTGGGCGAATTCCGTTTAAAGGTTGTACCAATTTCCTTGTCTTGGCTTTAAAGCTTAATATTATTAGATCGGGTTGGAAAATATATGGAGTAATAGCCTTGAAAAGTAGGGTAAAACAGGGAGAGGAGGGTTGAACCAAGTGGTATAAGTTTATATATATAGCTATAGCACCTTGAAAAACATTAGATAGTTCGTGGCTTCGTAGGTTAACTTGAAGTTTTCGCTTAAATTTAGTTTGCGATTATTGGCCTAAGCAGGTAACTTAAATGGAAATGTTTGCCTTCTGCTCGGAATCTGCGCCTCTTAATCTCTTCCATTTCCATTCTCGTCACTCGAAGCGGTGACAAGGACGAGTGTCGTGCTCGTCCTCCAGCGGCATGTCCCTTCCTCCCCTGCATGACGGTGTCACATTCAGGTGGGCGATGCATTAGTGGCGTCCTCCCTTCAGGCTGTTGCTGCATGTGGCCCTTGATTGATTGATTGATGTTGGCGGCATGTGGGGTTTACATATAGAATGTATATATGTGGTTACCCCGCCCAGAATTGGTTGGAAATTGAGGCTTGGCAAGGGATACGCGTTACATTGGCCGAGTTAAAGATACTTTCACAATTATTAACAACAATTATCTACAGATTGTAGCCACATAGTACATATATGTTTATGTTTATACTGCGTATTTTATACTTATATAATCGCAAATAACGCTTGACGACCGACTCTTTCGTGTCCTTAAATATAGCTACTTTTATTTCAAGTATTTTAATTGGTAATTAAATAAAGTACTTTATGCAAATACACATAGAAAATATAAATACATATATATATATACTCGTAATATAATAATATAAAATCGATGTACTGATCTTGATGTTATCATTTCCTAATTGTTTACTTTAAGTGGCTCGATTCAGTGTTGCAAATTGTTTGTTTGATTGGATAAATCTCCGCTTTTGCTTTTCATAGTAGTTTTGTGTTTTGTTTTGGTTTGACTTGGGGAAATATATACTCTCAACAGGCTTAACGTACGATAAACATTTATTTAAGATTGAAACATTTATTTTATATATTTATTTTTACCAATAGCTTAATTTTGCTTAGGGCAGGATCTATGGCTCTCCCCAGGATCCTGTCCCAAAGCCAAAATTTTCATCATTGCTGCCCTATTTGGATGCAGTTCTAAAGTAAACAATTGCCTCGATGCCCACTATGGCCTCGCTTCTGGATTTACCTCGCTTTTCTAGTTTTGTGTTTCTTTTTTCTTTTGCTTGACAAAATAGAGTCGCCTAAAATCTCTCTGATTGGGATATATTCTTGCAAGAGCCACCCGGCTTACTCCTCTTCGTCTGGTGACATTTTGGCCAGTGTCAGCAGAATCATGGTCAGCTCCTTGCGGGAAATCTTGCCATGCTTGTCGGTGCCCACGCCTCGCATAATGGTCTCCTCGAAGGCAGCCAAATCCTGGGCATCGTAGTCGTCCTAATAGGTAGTTATTAGTAAATAGTAAGAAACATATAATATGTTTTTTTTAAGCTAAGGACCCACCTTCTTGACCAACTCCAAGAGATCTTTGAGGAAGCCTTTGAGCTCCTCGTTCTCAATTGTTCCACTGTTGTCCTGCGGAATATTAATGGTTAATGGTTTGGTTAGTAATTCGAAATATACATGTCTGTATTATTTAAATATTAAAATAGTTTCTTGTACTTACCCGATCGTAGAGCGAGAAGACCTTTTCTATATCTTCTTTGGTCAACTTTGTGGCACCCTGGGAAAAGATTTTAACAATTAGTAACTAAATCTTTATCTTATATTAATAATATCCAAATACATCTTTAACAGATAGGTTTATTTATAAGTATTTTTTATCAAAATTAAGACTGAGCATACTTTGAAAGTATTTAAAACTATTTAGAAAATAAATCAATTTTAAAGATCTTACATCCTTAAAGACTAAAATTTAATCTTAAGTTCGATTTCTCTTCTATATTTTTAGATTAAAATATATATTCATTTAAAGTATGCTCAATCTTTATCAACATGTAAACATAAGTTTTATACAGCTCACAGTTGCGGCATAATTCATAGCATACTTTTCAGGTGCTAGGATTATCCGGCAACTATTTAACATGATCTTCTGGAATGGCGCAATCCTTGTCCCTATTAACTATCATAGATTTAAACACTTAATTGTGGAGTGTCTGTTTAAGTGCGATTTCTGATTGGTTTTTTGGTTAAATACAAAGCGCCTTTAACGCGTGACATCATGCAAAATGCTGGTAAATGGTAATAAAAGCATGCTTTTCTTTCGTGGAAATTAAGGTAAACGACAAATCTTGCTTCAGAATGAATATCCATGCCACTGGAGGGGAATTAGTATATGTTTATGAGGCAGGAAACAAAAAAGGCATTCCATTTTCACAGTCATTTGTTATGCTTACGAAGTATACTTAAAGGCTAATTAAGCTGAAAGAAACACACTGCCAATTATGCGGGTGTGTGTTATGCCTTTGACATCCGCTAATTAATATGAATTATGGCCCAGGTACGGCAGATTTGTCTTTGGCATTTCGCCACCCCGCTCTCTTGGGATACGTTTTTTTTTCGTTGAAGAAAAACAAAATTTATCGATTCCATTTGCACCCAGCAGCGAATTGCTCGCATTATTTTACCCTGTATGTAAGCCCCCAAAACCATGCACACACAAGCACAAGCTTGTAATTTTTGTTTTTTTTTTTTTTGCTTTGGAGGTTATGCAGCATGACCCAAGGTGGCGCCTCAAGTTCAAAGTTTTCAACAACTACACTGAGGGAAAATTGGCATACTGGCATAAGAAGGAAATATTATTATAAAAGTGGAATTTATTCTTTAATATCTGATATTTTATGATTAATAAAAACGGAAATTAGAATTATCCTTGGTGTATATGTTTTTTTCTCTAACCAATAACTCAATCGATTTATATATATGAATATATAATATATTTATTTTCCTTTACTAAGCTAATCTTCCTGCTGCAAGAGCACATTTTCCTGCACTGCCTGTAGGGTAAAAGCGAAAAGCTGCTAGGTGGAAGTGAAGTTTTTGTTTATCCTTTATCCTTGGAAAAGTCCTGATAACATTTGTTTTGCTGGCGCCATGAAAACGCATTTGGGGCATTCTTTTGTGCGTTCTTAACGGGATTAGAAACCCATTAAGTGGGAACCCTTTTTACGCCTCAAGCCTCCACAAATATATATTTAACCGGGCATTATAGAAAATTTGAACGCGAAAAGCTCTTTAAATTGAATTTTCCACATGTGATGGTATTTTTTGAATGCTTTTTTTCGCTCTTTGTCAAATGGCACTTACTTACGACTTAAGTATTGCGCCTCGAACGTGATGCTGCTGCCTTGTCCCCCAAACACATTGATAAAATGAAGTAATTATTTTACACTTCAACACTTTGAAATGTCGGTGCGGCGAGCGGCGTGCCAGCCTGCGGCTGCCATTATCCATATGGCAGTGCCGCAAAATATATGTGTATTCATCCTCCTGCAGCACAGCACACATTCCTTCCTGCTCACTCAATGACTAAATTATGCAAAAGGTTCCCAAGGAGCAGGAGGTGGATTCCACATCAACGTGTAATTTGTGTGAACCTCACATCGTTAAGGCCAAAGCTGTTCACGTACTCGGGCCAGGACTTGGGCAAAGGGATGTGTTAAGTGGGAAAGTGTGGGGTGTGTGGACCAATGCCATCAAAAGTCTAATTAGTAGCTCGTAGCTTTTATCATTCCCCTTGGCAAAAATTGCCCTGTGGCCGAAAAGGTCCTCCTAGGCGAAGGACCCTAGAAATGTGTAGATTGCAAATTACTCAAACTTTTACGGCCCGAAAGTTGGGTCCCTTATCGCTAATAAGCAGTAAGCTTTTATTAATTACGGATAAGATACAAGTTAAAAGTTATAGTTTTGTTTGTAGAATTAAAAAAAACCAAAACTAAACTACTTTCTACACTTAATATTTAGAATAGAAGCTAGGTCATTAATAATTTGAGCTATAATGATTGTTTTTATAGCTCAGGAAAACTGAACATATTTCATTCGCATAAATAACATATATTTGTAATATTTCTTGAAAGAATACCTGTTCCATTCACACTGCATTTTGCAATAAAATCAATTTAAAGTAAAATTCCATGCTATATTCATGCATATTTTTGTGTCTATAAACAAGAAGACTATTCCAAGCCAATTCAAAGCACTTAAGTGGTTTTTGTGTCTATTTTTTTGTTGTCTGAAAAGGAAGGGAAAGCATGCTCTCTACAAAAAACCATAATCGATAGAAATTCTTCGAGTGTTCAATAAAAAAATGATTGTTTAAACAAGAATTACTCAACGTACGAAATGATAGAATTTATTGAGAGTTTTAATGGGCCACCAGTGTTATTTTTTTTATTTTTCCCCAATGATTGAATTTTCTGAGAGGCAATTTGCTTTGTTTCTCGGTTTTTATATATGGTGATTGGGTGGAAAATAAATACTTACATCAATGCCCTCCTTTTAGTGTGTGGTTTTTATACATATATATTTTTTATGTTAGTTATATTAGTTCATTGGTTTTTTGGTTTTTGCAGGAATGTAAGTAGTTTGTGTATTGTTTTCGAAATATTTTTGTTTTGTTTGTTTTCATTGTTTGGCAGTGCAA